TCTAAATTTCCAACAATTATGTTAGAGTCTAAGGAGAGCTTATCGTGTTTAGCAGTGGCTACGTCTTTTCTCACCACTACTGATGCAGCCTGGCTACAGGTAACAGACGTTTGCTTACCATCAGCATTACTATGTTTCTTTCGATTGCTTATTTTCGTTACCCACTGATCATCTGTCTGCAGTTGCTTCTCAGGGCTGTTGCAGTTTTTGATGGTACAATCGAGATCAGTGTCTGCACCACCTTCATGGTGAACTTCGCTTACAGTGTTCTCTGGTGCTGAGATGCTGTTTGCAGCTTCCGTTCTGTTACCCTTTCGCTTACTAAGACGCTTCGAACGCCTAGTAGGTTTTACTTCCGGGGTAACTGGGATAGTAATCGCCGGTGTGGTAACATTCATGATGGCACTTGCAGCGTCATCTTCAGACGGGCAGTCTGTGTCACTATTACTCGCCACGCTATCATCAGGAAGTTCCATAGCCTTAGACAGTAGTTCGTGAGCCTCCCTTATCAAAGGCATCTTTGGGGAGTAGCACATTCTGCACATCCAGTTGGATGTTGGAGCAATACAACGTTTGTATGCAGCTGGACGTAATCCAGTACACATCTTATGATACCACTTTTTACAGTTATTACACTGTATTCCATCATCTACCAAAAAGTAACACTCCACCCTATTACATTTATGTGGTACTTTTGACATAATGAACTAATGGAACTGCCAAGACAATTTACCCAATATAGTCTATATAAATGTTTAAAATAAAAACTTAACAGACAAAAGTCAAGTTAAGGTTTTTTAAATGTTCTCAAAGTGAATAACACAACAAAAACAGCGATTTGTCAAATACGTGAAAATACGTGAAAAAAGCACTCCCTTTTTCAAACTGGAAGTTAATAAGCAAAAATCGTAAGTTGAAGGAATTCCTTGGTAAAAATTATATGAAAAGCACAAGTTTGGGGACTAGTAACACCGTGTCAAAAATAATGGAGAAATAAGCAAGAGTTCAGATGAAACTAACGAAAAAGTAAATTCCGAAAATCAGGGTTTAAGGTAGATTCGGACTGTCACACAATTGAGACGACTGGTGATGAAAACGGCAGATTTCCAGTATAATCAACACTAAGTCAATAAAAATAAACTACTACGAACAAAATCGGCAACTATTAACAGATAACAATCCTCCTATTACAATAATAGATACTTAAAAGGGGGCAACTTCAGTCAAGGATGGAGTTCGTTAGAAAAAAATCAGAACTATAGATATAGCACTGAATAGATAATATAACACGCAAAACTTCGAAAAATTGCACAGACTCACCAAATTGAACCAGATATATCCCATAAAATATACATCCAAAACCTGCAGGTGGCAGGGTCAGTGGTAACAGAGTTTATATAATACTTCCAAGGAAAATTTGTATCTCACAAGTGTTTTTATGTGTAGAATGTGAAAATTCAAGTTTCCGGTAAAAATTGTGTTTAAATAGTTTGAATACGGTTTGAAAGAATTCGAACGTAAATGTAGCGTCTCAATTCCAATTGCGTGATAGCGTCACTACACCAGCTACCAGTGTGACTTGCCACAGTATGCGAGTAGGTTGTGTCGTTGTTGTCCTTGAACTCTATGTCCTTATTTTTGTTTTTAGTTTGGTTGCTAGCAAAGTTTTGAATATTATTTACCTTAAAGCGTGAGTTATTCTTGGGAGTCTGAATATGTTGGGGATTCTTCGCAACAAGTGCCGTATTTCGGCATGTTTTGTTACCGAGTTCCATTTGCGTTGTCACGTTTTGGCTAGGAGAGGATGTTGTCAGCTTACAAGAGGGATTGATTGCCATCTTATGGCTGTCCATAGACATATCTAGATCCACCGTAGAGGGAGGAGAGGTTACTTTAGGAGTAAGACTATAGCTCACAAGTCTTTCGTTTGGTTTCGTTTTCTGTGAATCTAATTTTGTGAAATTTGAGAGGGGGGAGGTTATGAGTTCTACCGTGTTGGCAGTGTGTTTATCTATTTTAGTGGCCTTCGGTGTCTTGCCATTAGGTTTATTGAGGTGATTGTAAGCACGCCTTTCAATTACTGTCTTATCCACTACAACTTTTATTTGTTTGTAACTTGTGTCCTGTAAAAGGATACGTTGTGTGTTGGTGAATTTTTTAGCGTCTGTCAGAGTTTCGAACTGAAGGCGTATAGGACAGCAGTGTTCGTGCTGACTCTTTTTCAGTCTGTGACATTTTTTTGGGAGTTAGGCATTTTCGCCGCCCCAAGTAAGATGCTTTGAACCTTTTTCAACCCCTCATTATCTGGCATATTATAGACAGTCACACTTAGTTTAGTATCAAGTCTTTTGACAGCCTCTGTTGTGATGAAGTTTATCAAGGTGTCTACCTTAGTTACTGATTCTGTGTCAAGTTCGTCAGGGTTTATTGTCCTAGTCAAGATGTTCAGAGGGGCAAGTTCACAGGCCTGTGATTTTATATCACTAATCTGTGTTGATAGTCCAGATAAGTCAGCCAATTTTTCTGAACATCCTGCATTCATAGCCTTACTACACATTATGTCCCGCATCTCAGCCTTCAGTTCTTCTACAGACAGCTTTAGTCGTTCTATTTCTGAAGTCAGTGTTGAATCTGGACTTGGTTTTCTGAAGTTTTGTGACACGTATATAAGGTGAAGTGAAGAGGTTTATGTCAGGACCAGGTGCTGAGTTTGTAGAGGCGATGCTACTACTGGTTGTCAGCATATTTTCGCCTTCAGTCTCGGCTACAGTAGATGGTAGTGAACCGGCAGCTCGACGCTTGCAGCGTATTGGCAAGCTGTGCACCTCACTTCCATACTTCGTGGGAGTTGTGCTGCTCGTTGTTGCGAGTATATATGTGCTATCAGTCATCACGTTAACAGGTGACTGAGTTCGTGGCTTTTTTGTATGCTCAAGCATAGTTAAAGATTTATTGGTAACAATTATGCAACTGGAGAAACACTTGTGCGAGTCTCACAGCAAGGATAGAAATTCATAGCGAATCAAGCTAAAATGTAACGAAAACGCTGAACGTACCGCGTTTAATGCGGGAGTGCGTCCGTGACCGGGGATCGAAACCGGAACCACGTGTGGCGTGGTAGGCGAGCATTCTACCTCTGTGCCACCAACGCACCTACAGGACCTAAGTTCCTCATTCTTAGGTTCTCGTTCTGGAACTTAAGTAGTCTCATATTTTTTGACTCATTTCGTGCGTGTTAGCAGAAGGATGATGACCCAGTCTATTTCAATTATGCTGTTGGAGTTCTACGCAAATACTACAAAGGTCCGTCCTCTTTATGGGGCTTGCAATAACGCGTGCATAGTTCTTTTCTAGGTTTCCATGCCGTTTGTTGGGCTCATTGTGAAAGAGATATATGGGTGACTATGGAGAGATCTAAGCTGTTGGGACTTTTTCCCGTTTCTATTGTGAGACTATCTTGCTTGGCCATGGGCGGACTGTGATCTGTCGATGTTTGCAGGTTATCAGTAGTGGAAACATCCATGTCTGCTTCGTATGTGGGGTCAGCAGATTTCCTAGAAGTTCTTCCATGAACTTTGAGACCCAGTGTTCCTGCTGCATTTCGGTTTCACTTCGCCTTCACGTGTCCTTTGCTTTTACCTATTACTATGCGAGTGTTGGTTCGTGCTTCATTGCCCTTCGATACTTTAGCACTGACATTAGACAAGTTTTGTAATATGATCGTGTTTTTATCGGTGGTGTTCTTAGGTGCTTGTCGTTGTTTGAGGGTGTAGCGGTAGGTAACTCCACAGAATTACTGGCCACAGCATTCATCACTGAACACTGAATGCTGACTCTCACTGTTTTAGTCGAAGGCTAACGGTCAAGCATCCACGCCATTTGGCACACCGTCGTCTCACGTCCGTTCGTGCACGATCCCTAGCTTGTTAAGCAATCATCTTGCACTCCGATTTGGTCCCGAAATATGACTTGTGATTTGGACAACGAATTCTAGTGTTTTGCTTCGCCTTTGGTCTATGCGGAACGAACACTTTAGAAGTTGTGGGTATTAGATCTTGCGTTAGTATACTTCGTACTATCTGCGAATGTCACTACATTTAGCCTCTAAAAGGGTTTGTCCGAGGCAATTTAGCATTCTTGAATTTTGTAGAAGAGGCCAAAATATCCCCAGATTTCCTGAACTGTTCGGCTTTTATATAGGTATCAAATCTGAATAATATGAGAAACGTGAGTTTTGGGTCTTTTTTATTTATCCCAGTACACTGTCAGAGCATATAGAGGTTCGCGGCTCTTAACAAGGAGGAGTGAACCGACTTTATAGACTGTCTGGTATATTGCGAACCGTAGCGTTATGTTTCGATGCGAATCTCCTAAAAACTTTTCCCAACGAAAAGTCCATAGTGTTTTCAGACTCTCTAGCACTTTCTGAGTCAGTGTGAGCTGGTTTAGACTTCGAATTACAGAGTTTTAGAAAAGTTATATCCCCTAGTCCTTTTTTGAAATGTAAGACTGTTTCTGGTGTGAAAATAAATAGACCTAGTTTCGTCCTGCATATCGTTTATGATGCAGATTAAATTAGGAAGCTATGTCTTTTCTGACAGGAGCTCTTCCACATGTAATAAGGGGTTAGCATTATGTTGTAGCCGTTTATAATGAGTGAACTACTAGTAATTACTGATATAAGCGATGGTAATGCCTATTAGAAAAGTTCATGCTATTTCCTAAGTAACTGGTGTTTCTAAGAACACGCTTTTTATTTGTGATAAGAGAGCAGGATGCAATAAATGTATGTCAGCGAAAATACATGCAGAAATGTCACCAAATTCAAACGTACCGCATTATATATTTATCCGGATAGTTCTTTCAAGGTCATTGGCTGACTGCTATAGCTTAACCCCAACATATTATCTAAAAATAGATTTTCACTATGTTCTCCTAAGAAAGTGAATTTGTTCTCCGTTTTCCGAATTTCGTGGAAGTTGTTTATATTCACAAGTGGCCTTGAGGGATGAACATACTTGGGCTCGGTATCAGTGGTTGCTCGTATAATGCCGCAAGATTCGCTGCTTTTCTACGCTGCTACTGCCGTGAGAAATTTAAAACTTTTAGGTTATACATTTGAAACACACAATGTTCCTAAAGACAGTGCATCTTTTTTGTAAGTGAAAGCTTAATTCTGAACTTTTATCAAAGGTCGTTTTTCAAAGTCTGTCGGAAGATAGAGTTCATGCACATGCTTCATTTTCTATTCAAAACTCTAGATCCATTGCAATATGAGGCTTATGAGCTTAGGTACATCTCTTGTTAATTAATATATCTAAAAAGTTCGCTTGTAGGACCAAAGTCAGAATTGAAATTCAAGAATGCTACCTACCGTTGGCTGCGTATACTATCAGTGGAGGTATGTATGCTAACTCTTCTCACTTTTGTAGTTTCCCAAAATTGTTTCTAATTTCTTCGCTGTTTGGGGCTTTCCAGCTGGATTTGGAGTCTTGCGTCTTTTGGCGAATTTGTCTACTTATGTCTTATGTGTTACAAATAACCTAGCATCATATAGTCAATACACTGGGACGTCTAAGGAATCGGTTAAATTATGGCATAATTTTTTTGTGGACTCATGTTGCTCTATCCTTTCTGAGACAGAACTTCAAGAGTAAGTATTTCTTTTTCTGTCTGTATGTATCTGCGACACCTTTATTAGTGAACGAGATAATATAGGATTTGTCGTCATTCACAACTAGAAAACTGCAGTTCATTGCAGTGCAGTAGACCAAAGCATTCTGATTACTTCAAGGTGCTTCATATTGGTGTTATTAGGGTGTCAGTCGTTGTTCCTATGAAAAGATGAGTTGATGGGTATGATAAAAGGAAAAGTCAGTAATAAGTCTTGTATCTCCTATATAGGGAGGGGTGCAAGTCTTGACATCCTTTTGACTGTCGTATCGTAGGAGGTGTTGTCTTATTTTAACATTTCAAGTCATGATTTAAGTGTCGATCAATGTAATCTTTTTACTTCCACCAGGATATCTGTATGATGCTATTATAGTAAGATCTAAAAATCAGGAATCATATTCGGAATCTCACATAGGGTGGTTGTAGACTGGGCTGGTTGTATTGGCTCTTTGGGCAAACTAGTTAGTCCAAACATTTGTCTTCAGAGAGGCATACTGCAAGGCTCACTAACCTACACTTGAAAATTTAGGACTCTGGTTTTGATGTTTATTGCAGAACCGGGAAAGCCTAGACAAGATTCTTCCCAGGGAATCTAAATGTATAAGTTGTTTGGTTTTCGGCTGGTTATCCAAAATATTGGACTTCCTGTGTTCGGGGTCCGAACTCCGACCAGCGCAGTCCTAAACCTAGCTAAGCTGTCAGTAATCGCAGCAGGGAGGGGGAAGTTGTGCTTGAGACGTGCAATCCCACCACCACGCAAGAACGCAACTGCTGCTATTGGAACTTTAAAGCTTAAGCTTGAAGCCGTGTGTTCTACTTGGAGCGCAAAGGAGTCAAATAAGTAATAAAGTAATTTCCTGCGTTTACAATCATACAAAACGGAATCAATTGAAACATAAACATGTTGTGTTGGAAATCGCTATAAAATTCATTTAGATGTAGTTGGGTGTAATATATTCACCCATGTTTACATGCCTATCTTTACAGGCTGGATCCTTCTTTTATACACGCTTTGTAGTTAATTTATTTTCATGAGAATTTATTCACTAGTAATAATTTCTCTATTTGTACGATTTCATTATTTAAATTCCTACTAGCTAGACTCCTGACCCGACTTTATAAACATTTATTATTATTATTGTTCCCTTTAATTCCTAGAGAAACATAGGGCTTCAGCCGTGCGTCTCCATTGCGTTCGGTTCTCTGCTAGATTCTTCACCTGGCTCCAATTCTGCCCACACGCTTTCATCTCCTCTTCACATGACCTCCAACTCACCCTTGCACTGACGACCAACTCGCCGCTTCCCTTTTGGGTTCCACTCGAGCAATGGCTTGTCTAGTGATGTCACTTGATGGTATTCTCAGAGTATGGTCAATCCAATCCACCTCCATTTCTTCCTGCTTATTTTTTTCACAATCGGTTCCTGGTTGGTTCGCTCCCAGAGGTCTATGTTGCGGATCTTTTCTGGCTAGCCATCTGATCTTGAGTATTGAGCGAAGACAGCTGTTAATGAAGGTCTGTAGTTTGTTTGAGATGCTCTTTATGACGCGCCAAGTCTCTGATTGATCCGTATAGTAGCACTGACTTCACATTGGAGTTGAAAATCCGGATCTTATTTTTGATGCTGAGTGTTGTTGACCTCCACACAGACTTGAGAGTAGTGAAAGCTTGTCTTGCTTTGATGTCCTCGTCAGTTCCGCCTGTAGTTGAAACGATGCTTCCCAGGTAGATAGGTAGGTAAAGCAGGTTGTTTCTTTCAGGTTTCTTCCATTTATGCTGATTGTTGTGTGTTGTTGTTTTTGCTGTTGGTGGTGTTGCCCAGGAATCTTCATCACCTCTGTTTTCTCTATGTTCACCTGAATTCCTATCTTTGATGCTTGTTCTGCCAACTTAATGCTTTTCACTTGCATATCTTCCAGTTTGTGGGAAATCAGACATATATCATCGACGAAATCCAGATCCTCCAAGTTTGTTGTGTGAGTCCATTTTATGCCTGTTTCCTCATTGCCCATTACCTATTATCCAATCTACTGCAATCAGGAAAATCATTGGCGATAGTAAGCAGCCGATTCTGGATAGGATGAATTAAAGTTTATGTATTTATTAGTGTGCCGGTTTCCTGTAAATGCTAGTATCTAGCCCGCCATCCTGTTTTGTCTTATTCTGTAGTCTAGCATAGTCAACTCACCATGCTCGTTTTCTAACTCAGAAATGGATTAAGTTGCATCTACTATTATCTTCATATGTGTGAAAAAAACGAAGCATATATTCAGATTTCAACACAGTAAATGTGTCATCCACATATCTTCAGCATAACCTAAGAGCAAAAGTTTTGTGTTCCCAACTATCCATAAATATATCTGCTACTATTGGCGATATTGTGTCAATCTGAATGGTATTTTCTATGCACAATGTGCGATTTCCAGCAATTTATAATCAGTCTGATCAGCAGCGCCAGTAGTATCAATTTTATTTAAAGATTCTTCTTACCAATCACACTAGGGTTAGGTGGTATAATAAGGTAAGTAATGTTAACGTTAGGCGTAGAGTGTTGGGCAAAGAGGGAAAATCAATCGACGAGGCTATAAAGTTACATAGATTGAGATGGCTAGGTCACGTGCTGAGCATGCCTAGCCATCGCCTCCTCCGACGGGCATTACTAGCTGATATAGGTGTAGGTTGGAAAAGAGTACGTGGTGGCCAAACAAAACATGTCATCAATCAATCCATGAAATCCTTGACAGTTAAACTGAGTAAGGTAGGGGGATGCAGACTTCCGGGTTGGGGCCCTCGGGATTCTAAGAATCAATAGCTAGAGACAATAGGTGACATGGCTCAAAATCGTTGTCAATAGCTTACGCAGATGTATTCAGTCTCTGTAATCTTTCATATCCCTTCCTACCATTACTCATTGTGTTTCACTCTTATACTTGTCAAAACGCTATTGATTCTCTTCACTCATCTTCTTGTCTACCTTTGTGTGCTATTTGGAACGTGGCAACTTGAACTGCTGCACTTCGGTGCCAAGTTCTATGTTGAATCCAGACAGACAGAATCACACTAGGTGGGCTTAGTAACTGGAACTATGTTAATTGATTCTTTTGAGCAGTCTGATGAGACTATTCTATGTACAGTAAAGTTAATACTGTCATCTTATAAACACGTCATATCTGTTCTACTTAAATATACTGGAAGTTCCTTTGCCAGAAATTTTTATTTTTACTATCAGTATTTTCTTTTCTTTTAAAAAAATGTTATTTTTCATTAAAGCCAACTTAAGGTGCTTTGCTGTACTCTTCAAACTGAAATTCAGGATAAATTAAAAGAAGTTACAGAGTGTAAACAACGAATTCTGTTGGATGCCAATATACAGAAACGACTGTAAGTTTAAATTGCTTTGTACGAAATAATCATTTTCAATGGTTATGTAATGCTATTTTAGCTTTTAATGCTATTAAAGCTTTTATATTAAACTTTAAATAGATTAAAATATAATATGAATGGGAGCAATATTTCTTTCGGTCAAATCTTCAAACTTTGCTCTAATGCAAATAGGTTTATATATATATATATATATATATATACGAACGTGGTCCTCGTGAAGCCGGAATGTAGAATGGTCGTTTGGGCATGTATCCGAAGGCCGCATAGAGTAGATCGTGTTAGAAGAAGATGAAAGTGTTATTATGTCACCACATTGGAATTGAAATAGGGACGCCGAGTTTGACCTGAGCGCGGTGACCACGAATATCGCTAGTCTAATGCCAACAACATTATACGACAACTACGTGTTCCCTAGCTTGTGTGTAACGGTGGTGGTGGGGGGGAGGCACAGCTAAATGGGGCCTCAGCGAACAAGATGAAACAGAAATATACTGTTCTACTCAAAACCCAAGGAAGTAATAATAATAATCATGATTATAATATTATTATTATTACCTTGGGCTCCGAGTGGAACATAAGGCTTCAGTAACAAATCTTTTTGTTACATTTTCCGCTGTCTTCTTCAGCTGGGTCGCTGATTGTCCATAATGCCTCATCTGCTCCTCCCCACACGATCTCCATGACACCCTCACTCGCACCGACGACCTATTCGTCTCTTCCTATTGGGGTTCTACTCGAGCAGTGGCCTGAATTGAGCGCGATATCATTTGATGGCCTCCTCAACGTATGCCCGATCCATCTCCATTTTTTCCTCCGCATATTTGTTGAGCAATCACCTCTTCGTTGGTTTGTTCCACTGCAGAATTTTTCTTGCTAATTCTTTCTGGCCAACTGGCCATTTGATCTTCAGTATGGAGACAGTGAAGGGGGCAGCTGTCTGTTGGAAATACTTTTTGTGACACGCTAGTCAAGTTTCTGACGGGAATATAAGAACTGACTGACTTTGCATTTACGTTGAAAATCTGAAACTTCTTCTTCATGCTGTGGAGTGCAGTGCAGAAGATTTCCAAACTGGTTTCAGTTTCATGAAGGCGTATCTTGCCTTTCCGATTCTGGCCAGCTCCCGCATCTTTATCCGTTCTGACTGCCTGTGGTTGAAAACGTGCTTTCTGGCTAGATAGGTGAAGGAAGTAACCTCTGTCAAATAATAATAATAATTTCAAATTGACTTCAAATTATCACATTTTAGTATTCATTCACTATATTTCATGAATTGTAGGCCAATTTTATGTTTGTTCATTAAAGCTCAAAATAGACGGAAAAACTGTAAAATGTCTAGGCTTTAAAGGAGGGGTGAAAATTAATTAATTAAGGAATTCAGGATAAGTTAATCCGTGATCGTTCGCCACAAGTTATTACATAATCAAGAAATTTGTAAAATAACAAATGATGACTAAGATGGATAGGATGACTCAGTAGAATTACGTAAAATATAAACAAGTTAAGAGAATTAACTCGAATTGTAAAAATTAACACAGTCAAAAGATTGTGGGAAGTACCATCAGCCCCAACGGGTTGATCTCTGACGAAATCTCAGTACGAATACAGAAGGCTAGTTTCTCATATGCCAGTTTACGCCGTCTCTGGCGTAGCCGTGATATCCGGCTATCGACCGAAGGGCGGGTGTACTGCTCAGCAGTCCGCTCCGTCCTTCTTTATGGCTGTGAGACCTGGCCATTGAGAGTGGAAGACATAAGAAGCCTGGCTAGTTGTCTTTCATTAAAGGTGCCTGCGTTTTTATCTCCTGTGTTAAGTGGTGGTATAATAAGGTGAGCGATATTGAGGTTAGGCATCGGTCGAGTGCTAGGTAGGTAGGAGGGAATATCAGTCGACAAGGCTATGAAGTTACACCAATTGAGATGGTTAGGATATGTGTTACGCATGCCTAGCCATCACCTTCCTCGAAAACGGGCAATGTTAGCTGACATAAGGTCAGGTTGGAAAAGAACTTACTAGTGGTGGTCAAACGAAAACATGGCACCAGTCAATGAAATCCACAACAGTTAGTTTAAGCCAGCCACGTAGGAAGGTGTGGACTTGCTGGTTGGGGTCCTCGGGACGATAAAAACCAATGTTTGAAGACAATTGGTGATATGGCTCAAAATCGTTCTCAATGGCTGGCGCAGATGCATCCACTCTTTGTGGCTTAAAATTTCCAGTGAAACTATATTGTTCTTCGTTATTACTATTCCTTTGTCTCTCACCTCTGTTTACTGCCTATATTATGCATTTCTTCGCTTGATTTGTGTGCTACAGGGCAGGGAGTGTGGCGACTTGAACTGGTGCACATCGGTGCAAAGTTCTATGTCGAAAACAGACAGACAGACAGATAATTTCATATTGGATAAGTTTATTTCAATTATCATATAGTGATGCAGTATTCATAACTGGATGACATTTCGAGCATAAATTATTGTTGATAATCATGTCTATTTGGTCATATGGTTTGACAGTTTGTCTTATATACACTTCTCTTTCTCTCTCTCTTCAACTTCTCTTTGTTGTTTGTTACCAATTTCCATATCTCCGGTATAGGTATTACCTTTTTTCGATTGCATGTGTTCGGTGTTGAATCGGTGAACAAAGATTCAGTGACTAACCGCTCTATCTCTCTCTCCACCTAACTACATTACATTACGATACATTCACTCTGTCTCACTTACCCTATTGTCTGACCACATGCAAGTGAGTGTAATGTAATGTCTGAGCTTTTCTCTAGATTATTTAACTTAATAGAGTCAATCGTTGTACGTCTAGCTACATTGAAATATTCCAATAATTTAATTCACTCCGATCTACTAGTTTACCCTATGTAATTGACCCCATTCACAGTAGGGTATTACATGGTATTTGGTAAATTATATTATTTTTCTTAATTGGATCTATCAGGTCCTTAGGCCGACAAATTTTATCTTTGAGAGAGTTCGTTGATTGGTTTAAATGCCACCCGAATTCCAAACTCACTAAGAATCCTACATAGAGCCTCTGACGTTCTCTCTATATACTGTAGTACTACAGAAGCTTCGAATTCTATATTATTTTCGTCCTTTTTATTTTGCTAATCTTATTTTTTTTCTCTATGGTTCTTCATACATTTCTGAGCAAATTCTTGTGGATAGTTATATAGCAATAATAATATACAGTTAGGTGGAGAGATAGAGAGGTTAATCACTGAATCCTTGTTGTTCGATTCAACTCCTCACACGTGCAATCGAAATGATGCAACACCCCTATACCGGAGATATGGAAATTGGTAACAAACAGCAGCCCGAGTTAGCAGCAATCTTCGTATGTTTGACATGCGATTCGCCGCTGTAAAATGTAAGATGCTGCTACAGGACTGGACTACGTCAACTCCTAGCTTAGTGATAGGGAGTGAAGTGATAGAACATGTTGACCACTTCACCTATTTGGGAAGTTGTATCAGCACCAACGGACGACAAAATCTCAGCACGGATCCAAAAAGCTCGAGCTGCTTTCGCTGACTTACGCCATCTTTGGCGTAGGCGTGACATCTGGCTATCAACCAAGGGACGTGTGTACTGCTCAGCAGTTCGCTCCGTCCTTCTCTGAGGCTCAGAAATATGGTCAATACGAGTTGAAGACATGAAAAGGTTGACTGTTTTTGATCATAGATGTCTACGATCTCTTTCTCAAGTTAGGTTGTATAATAAGGTAAGTAATGTTGACGTTAGGCGTAGAGTGTTGGGCAAAGAGGGGAAATCAATCGACGAGGCTATAAAGTTACATAGATTGAGATAGCTAGGTCACGTGCTGCGCATGCCTAACCATCGCCTCCCCCGACGGATGGGCATTACTAGCTGATATAGGTTGGAAAAGAGTAAGTGTTGGCCAAACAAAACATGTCATCAATCAATCCATGAAATCCCTGATAGTTCAACTGAGTCAGGTAGGGAGGGAGATGCAGACTTCCAGGTTGGGGCCCTCGGGACTCTTAGAATCAATGGCTGGGGACAAACAATAAGTGACATGGCTCAAAATCGTTGTCAATGGCTTACGCAGATGTATTCAGTCTCTGTAATCTTTCATATTCCTTTGTACCATTACTCATTGTGTTTCACTCTTATACTTGTCAAAACTCTATTGATTCTCTTCACTTATCTTCTTGTCTACGTTTGTGGGCTATTTGGAAGGTGGCAACTGGAACTGCTGGACTTCGGTGCGAAGTTCTATGTTGAATCCAGATAGATAGACAGACAGGTAACAAATAAGAAAGGGAAGTTGGAGAAACCGAAAGACAGAAGATGTATATAGTGGAAACAAAACACGTAGTTCAGCGAAGAGTCTCTTTTCGGCAGCGAATTGATTTTCTTAGCTGTACAGTCACAAATATACATATATAGGTTATTTTGTATGTATGTGTAAATTAAGTTTGTCTAACGAAAATACAATTGGTTATGGTTATTTTAACTATACAGGTGAAAATTAGTAAGTTTCGGGTGTAGTTACGTAATACAGAAAAGGTCAAGAAAATTGGGTGTTAATGAGACTAGTGTAGTAGTAACAAAGGTGATGAGTTGTCACAAACAGTTGTTAAAAAGGAGTTACGTAAGTAATAATATGTATAGTTTGATGATTGAGTTGTACTCAGGATGCACATAGGAACAAAGTAGAGAATCCAAAATTACGTAAGAGTTCCAAATAAATATACAAGAATTATAAGCAATTAAAGAAACAGGCAAACAAACAAAATTAAATCATGAAAAATCAATAAAGTAAGTTGTTACCTTGATAATGAGTAATTCTCTTTTGTATGCACAGACGTATATATGACAAATTGTGAAACCGTGTGACTAAAATTGATATGATTATAAGTAGCAATAATTTGTACTGGAAACGTCATGCAGTTGTTAATATTTTTGATTTTTGATTATATCTTCATTCCACACTGTATTTTCAGTACAGGTATGAAATTTTCAGCATGTGATATCGATAGCCCCGCGATTTTCTTTGTGCTTTCCTTGCGGGCTTTTGGTTTGATAGATTGGCTTGGGGGTATATGTCTTTCGATGAAATTCTGTGGATATCCATTCTTTTGGAAGACGTCCATGAGATATCTTTCAATTTTTCTTAAGGTGGGAGTGTCTCACACCTCTGTTTACTGTCTATATTATGCATTTCTCCTACTTTCTTCTCTTGCTTTGTGTGCTACATGGAGTGTGGCGACTCGAACTGCCGCACATCGGTGCAAAGTTTTATGTCGAAAACCGACCGACCGACCTAAGGTGGGAGTGTTCCAATGAGTCCTGGCCCTCTTGAATAGTGTTTGTATGCAATTCTTTTTGTGTTATTGGATTGTTGCTGTTTTAATTCAGTATGTGTGAGTTGATTTTCTATAAACTTGAGTTTCTAATTCCCCTGTGGTTGTTCGCTTGACTGAGACGTCCAAAAAATGAGATTTTGTTCTCGAATTCCTCTTCTCTTGTAAATTTGATATCGTTGAAGACGTTTATAAAAGCTTCACAAATTAACTATCCAGCTCAGAGAACACAACCAAATCAAAATCATCCACCTGAGCTACAAATCTTCTCTATCATATCTAAAGGTCTGTATAAATTTCTTTACTACAGGAAAATCTCTTATTGAACTAAAAGAGGCGTATGTAAGCAAGGAGTCTGTGCTGGTGTTGATTTTCTTCAATAGTTTCTTCGTTCATTTCTTCTTTTTTTGTTTTCCGCTTTCATTTCCTTAATTGTAGAAGTGCCGAGTGTCATTCTTCTTTCTCTTCTGGTGAAATCATCGACCTTCCAGACGAATTGATCAATTATAAAATTCAACTAGAACAGAAAGTAAGAGTGTTTGTATTCCTTCAGGTTTAATATTGATTAATCTATGTGTTCATGTATTATTTTATTATTAAACACGGTATCTGATGCAATATAGGCACCAAGAAGATGCGCCACACAATAAGAATAAAACAATAATATAAAGAGAGAGAGAATGAATAAAGGATAGAAGACAAGTAGTTCAGCGAAGAGTCTCTTTTCGGCGGCGAATTCATTTTCATAGCTGTACAATCGCAAATATATATATGGTTGTTTTGTATGTGTGTGTGTACATTAAATTTGTCAAACGAAAATACAATTAGTAAGTTCAGATGAATTGGATGTTGATATAAGAGAGTAGTAACAAAAGTGTTGAGTTGTCACAAACGATTGTTAAAGAAGATTTACTTAATAACATGAATAGTTTGATGAAAGAGTTGTACTCAGGGTGCACATGGAAACAAAATATACGGAATTACACAAGGGTTTTAAGTAGAAAAATAAGCATACAAACAAAAGTTAAGTTAAATCAACAGAGTTGTTACCATGGGAGTAGAAGTGGTTGAATAGTTTTCTTTTGTATACACAGTTCTGGTTCCTCTAGCTTAATGGCTAGGGCTTCTGCGATGCAAATAACACGGAATCGTACTGTCTTTGGAAGGTTGTTCTTCACTTTGTAGATTACTTTGAAGGAGGCGTTTGTTGAGATGGAATGACCAGTGTTGACGAAGTGTTCTATTATTGCACTCCTTATGCAGCCGTTACTTCTTTTCTGTAGCCACGCAAAAGCCCTAGCCATTAAGCTAGAGGAACCAGAACTGTGTATACAAAAGAAAATTATTCAACCACTTCTACTCCCATGGTAACAACTCTGTTGACTAGCCAATAGAGACACCGGTGCAGATGCCTCTGGGATGACATTCGTAGCACATGTCTAAGCTACCGAAGCCGATGTTGCTAGATGATGACACTCAATGATTGGTGATCTCCACTGTATGCAAACACGCACTGCCGGACTTCATAATTACATGATGATGCCATCGGACGCCATTAATTCTACGGAGACGGCGATTATTGAATGACCTTTGACCTTTGAGAGTCAAGCTAAAGTCGCGACAGCGCCAGAGGTGACTTGCATTGGCGTATACCACCCTAGCTTTCACACTGTATAGCTAGAAGTATCGTCCGTCACATCTCCGCCAGCACTCATCAATTAGAGAACCAATGGAAAACCTGGGAGTACAGCCATAAAGCTGTTTGGTCAGCCTAATTTGAGACTCTACAGCAGTACGCACCCACCAGGGTTCGAACCCATGACCTTCTGCTTACAAGGCGAGCAAGGTCGTAGACCATCAAGCCACTGGGATCCAACCCATTCAATGGCCAGCGAGTGCATGAACTCTAACTTCTGCCAATTCTTTCAAGCATTGTGTACAGCCTTTTAGTGAGAAGTTAATTAAATATATGTGCGCTAGTTCATATACTGATCATTTGATATGATCGCACTGCCAAAATAATAAGAAATGCAGAAGAGTTTAAGCATTCTGAATGAATGGAAATTCTCGCTGTCTAGTGATTTAAGCAGCCTGCCGTGAGAGTAAAGTTTCGTCTGATAGTGTATGATCAGAAGTTCCATTATGGGTAAATTTTATTTTGATAGAGTCTCACAGTGTTATACAGTAATAACTGTATAATAATAACTGTATAACACTGTGAGACTCTATCAAAATAAAATTTACCCATAATGGAATTACACTCTACCACAGTGCCCAAGTTTTATTCTTATATCTATGATCAGAAGTGTTAGTTTTACTGGAATTCCTTTAAACGACAATTAGACAAAAGTTATCGTTGTTAGCGATGGCTTAATCAGCTCTTTGTACTACTTTAAACATAGGCATTCACATTCAGATTTATTTTCGTATGAAATGTTAGAAATAGGCTGTTTTTAACTAATTCAGTAGTATGCACCCACCGCCTGGGTTCGAACACAGGACCTTCAGGTTACAAGTCAATCTCGTACATCATTCAGTCATTGGAGCGCGATTCAATGGTCAATACATGAATTCCAACTCCTACCAATTCGATATTTTAGCGCTACCCCCATTAGCAGCAAATGTCATTAGCGAGTATTCGTTCTCACTCCCTACCTGGTGGGTCCCACTGGTCACGACTTCTCGTTAGAACTCCAGACATCTTCGTCCTGTAGCCAGTCAGTCACCGGCGAGCACCAGATTAGTTTTCAAGAGTTAGTTGCCTAGAGTTCTAGTGAAAAGTCGTGATCAATAGGGGTCGGACGTGAGGACGAATACAAGTGCTCACCGATATGACTGGCTACTGGGGGGGGGGGTCGCGCTAAAATCATGAATTTGGTAGAGGTTTCAATTCATGGACTATTGGGTCTGGTCCCACTGGCTGAATGGTAGGTATACAAGCTCGTCTTAGAACTGGAAGATCCTGGATTCGAACCTTGGTGGTGTATGTGTGTACTGCTGATCAGTCCCATACATGTGTGTACATACATATATGTACTTTATATTCTCATGCCTTATTAACGTTCTTTCATTTCAAGGTGGCATCTCTTAGACAACAACTCACAGAACATCTCAAAAACCATGCTCCCTCTTTACTGCTGTTAAGTAATATTGTTGAGAAATTGGATGAAAAAGAACCATGTATTCTAGATGGTTATAAGCTGAAAATTCCATGCGCTGATTTAGAAAATTTGACTAGTAATGAAAAGGTATGTGTTTATAATTTATGTAGTTGTGAGAATGTATCCGACATTAAATTTTTTTTTGTTTTTTTAGTAGTTTAAGTTAATTCTCATTTCCGTTTGATTGATTACATTATTGATCTGCGAAATACCTAGTCTATGTTTGACATTTGGGCTCCTCCTAGCACGGACATTTCGACGATATTTGATGAATATGATGGTGTTATTTGGTGGTTAGTGGCGGCGCCTAGCAGTGGGCGCCAGAACGCGCATTTACTCCTATTTGGGACGCGTCAACTAGCTGCGTGTACCTGAATTTCCCAGTGAGTGATGGTTTCCACACCCCACCCTATCCCCCAACCATTAAGGCTCGAAGCCAGTACCCATCATTTCAAACGTCAAAGCGTCGTTATCCACCAGATAAATTGACTCCCAAATAGGATACAATACGCATCCTGGATTCCACCTGCTAGTCAGTTACCATCCACCAGCATTGCCTCAAGTTAAATCCTCAGACATCATCGAAACATCATCCGCACAAGAAGTCGACATTTCTACAGAGACTGAACACTTCAGTCCATTCAATCAATGGGAACTTTCAAATTGAATTAAATAAGTTTCTCATGGCGTTATTTTAATTATGTCTATTGAGTCTATTTTTGTTCATATTTTATTTTGTTGTGTGGTAGAGTAAACTGGTGTGAAAATGAGTGAACAGGTTGTATACACACCAACCCTAATAAACTGATTGCTGAAGATGGATTTACCAAACTGCATCATTTCTGATGAACGCGTGTCTTCTTTCCATGCATCAAAGGTTGTGTCTGTTGTGTAGAGTAGCTCACTCTATCCTTATTTATTTAAACGCAGAAAAAAACTTGGTGCAATATGACACCAAGACGATGCGCCACACAATAATAATAATAATAAAATAACATAGATTAGAAGTAAAAATATAAGTAGAGAACGGATAAGGCACTTCATTTGGAAGGAAAACAGACATACTTAAGAAGTTCAAACAGTATTAGTTAACTGTCATCAGCAGCACGTTCGCCATTGATTGCGATTCTTGGCCATATCCAATAAAGTTTCGAGCTATCTTTCGGACTCCAACCAGGGAGACGTGACGCACCAACTGATGCTAACCTAGAACAAATATTCCTCATCCCACGACGCCATGTCATGGACTGACCACCTCTCCGCCTTTTCCATCCCGTCCCAGGGCTAGCGAACAGAGACTGGTACGAAAGCCTCTGAGATGACATTCGCAGCACATGTTGAGGCCATTGAAACCGGTGTTTCCAGATGACCACACTCAATAAATGGTGATCTCCACTGTGTTCAAACACCCACCGCCGGACCTCAGGATTACTCACGCGATAATGCCATCGAACGCAAGCAATCCTGCGGAGACAGCGATGATCGAATACTCAGAGCGGCCGCACATCCTCAACTCGGGGAAGCCGGGTTTCACAGGAGTAGAGCAAGACAGCCTGTACCGAAGCATTGTATACCCGACTTTCAGGCTAACATCGTGACAGCGCCAGACGTGACTTGAATTGGCGTGTGCAACCCTAGCTTTCACACTATACAGTTAGAAATCTCGTCCGTCACATCTCCGCCAGCACTCACTCAACTACCCAGATACACGAACTAATCGACAACTTCATGCACTTCACCTGAAAGGGTGATCGCAAGTACAGACTCTTGCCAATCTTGTAACTTGTACGTAGCACTTACTTAGACGGCACAAAGCACATACCATACTTACAGACACTGACCGCCAACTGATTAAGTGGGATTTGTGCAGTCTGCATGCTATCGCACAGTAAGAAGATATCGTCTGTATACTCTGGGTGAAGGTCTTCCTACAGAAAGCAGATCTACACCACCACAATCACCAAGCATATATCCCTCCGAGTTGACTGCAGAATGTCATCGATGGGAAAGTTGGAGAGAAATGGAGAGATCGGGCAACCCTGTCTAACCCTACCTCAATCCTATTTTACGGATGTAAGATATATGTCCATTCAATGTGAAAGACTTGATGAAAAGATTAGCAGTTTTTAACCACAGGTGGTAAGTATGTTATCGCGTGAAGGAATATTGTCAGTATCAGTATGGCTAGGCTTATTGGGTTAGGGTCACATGGTAACTAAAGTTAGTTTGTGAAATTATTGAACCTAAATGTGATTCTCGTTTCTGGGACGTGCGTTGTATGTGTGTGTGTGTGTGTGTGGCTGAGTCACTGATTTGCTCAATGCATAATGTCGGCGGAGATTGAATTAACTTAGGAAAGAGTTGGAGTGGTCAAATCAAAACGCAACACCAATCCATGCGGTTTTTGAATATCAGTTTGGGCAACATTGTGAGGTGTAGACTAACATGAATGAGGTGCTCAAGATCCCTAAAACTCATTGGTAACACGGTTCAAAGTTGTTCACAATGACGTGAATGCGTTTACGTGTTGTGATCTTTGAGATTCCGTAAACGCTCCCACTGTTCTTCACTTAATCATCATTCTTTTTTCGTCCGTTTTGATTTCATTGTTTTTTGTCTCTGCTGTTATGTGGGCTCTCCTCTGACCGCTGTATGTTTGTGCAGACTCTTGTTTTGATAAGTCAGTCTGTGTCTTCAATGATAACAATGGTCGTAGTAATTGTGTAACGGAAGAAGACAACAGGCTTGCTAACGGAATGTTTACTAGCAATTTGACATACATTTATAGGGGAAGTATGTATACCACATATTATGATCGTCATTTGCATAGATCCTCCGTGTTGTGCTTCTTTTTGTGTCTTCCATGTTTCGCTGCTATACTGACTCATTTCCTCCCTTCGACATCAAATCGATCTCTGTGCTGTTTGATATTTTTGTGCTGATGAACGTCTTTTCCCTTGGGTTCCGAGTGGAACATAGGGCTTCAAGAACATATCTCCTTATTGTTGTATTTGGTGCTGTCTTCTTCATCTGGATGGTGCATCGGTGGTTCAGCGGTAGGATGTTCACCAACCATGCATGTGGTCCGAGGTTCGACTCCCGGTCGGCGCACACCTTTACACCTTCACTTAGTCGGTTGTAACCCCTACAAAGAGAGAGGTTGGATGTGCGGCTAGCAATCCTATCCCTTAAAAGCATCACTGGTACCGAAACTTCAAATCTTGAATCCCTGTTTTTCACTCGGAACGCAAAAGGAATTAAATAAATAATAATAAATCTTCAGCTGAGTCCACGATTGTCCATAATCTCTCATCTGCTCCTCGCCACACGATCTCTTCCATGTCACCCTCGCTCCCACCGATGACCCACTCGTCCCTTCCTATTGGGATCCCACTCGGGCTATGACCTGCATTGAGCGCAATGTCATTCGATGGCCTCCTCAACCTTTGCCTGATCCATCTTCATTTACTCCTACATATTTTTTGATCAAGCGGCTCTTACCTGTTGGTTTCTTGTTACTAATTCTTTCTGGCCTGCCGGTTTGCCATTTGATCTTCAGTGTGGAGCCAGCGAAGGGGGTATCTGTCGATAAAAGTTTGCAGTAGTCTGTTGGAAAGATTTCCAAACTGTTTTCAAGTTAATGAGGGGTGTATTTTGCCTTTCCGATTCCGGTTGGCTTTGACATCATCCGTTCCGCCTGCAGTTGAATCGATGCTTCTTAGATGAAGGAAGGACGTAACATCTGTTAAATTTCTCCCGTTGATGGTGATTGATGTTGGCTGTTTTTGCTCTTGCTGTTGGTTGGTTATCTTCATCACCTCCGTCTTCTCTATGTTCACCTGCAGTCCTGTCTTCGCTGGCGTCTTTTTCAGCCAGTTCATCTCTTTTTATACTACTGATAAGCTTTGTCAGTAGCATACGCTACACTCATCCCGTCAAATAGTTTCGAGCGGAGCAGCTCCGACCTTTTTGGTTCTACCTATTCTTGTTGTGCCCTGATCCCAGCTTCCATTGTATCCATTCCGGCAGTTGTCTGATTATAACCCGTCTCTGTTTATTTCTTCTTTTGATGGTGTAAACGGGACAATGTCTCTCGATGACAGTTGATAGCCTTTCCAATTTCGGAAGGAGTTTCCGTGCCCCTGGTTCGCATCTCGTTGTATGCTTTCCCTCTCTCACCAACTTCAAAGGTCATGCACTTCATCTTTTCTCTCTGTTCAGATTTCTCGGCGGCTTCGTTCCTTTCGCGATCTTGTCATACTCCACTCTTAGTGAAGGGGGTAGATCATGCTGTGTATTGATAGTCGTGGTGGTTTCCTCCAATGAATCAACTCAAATGGTGACATCTTTATTGTTTTATGGGCTGAAGCACAATGTGTCAGTAGAATCAATGGAAGCCTTATCTCCCAGTTACTTTTCCTCGAGGCCAGCCAGTCCTTCAGTGTATGGTTATTTCTCTCAAACCATTCATTTGTGGATGGTATGGGGTTGCTCTAATCTTCTTCATACACACCTAGCTGTTACAAACGGGATGTAAATTATTCACTGTCAAAACAAAGACGCTGATCTGTCAGTATCGTTTTTGGTACACCATGGTCTGCAGCGATATGTCACAACTTTTCCGCGTTGATCAAGAATTGTGACGGCGTCTAGTCATTATACGGCGTGTTCTGTCATCCCCGGGTGACACACATTACAGTGTTACTGCTTTCGTTCAAGTTTGTTGATATATTTTAAGAGTCATCAGCTGACATCAATCAGAGGACCATTAGAAAACCTGGGATTACTGGATAGCTGTTTCGTCCTAGTGTGAGACTCTTCACAGTGTGCACCCGCCGGGGTTCGATGCAATCAAAAAAAACCCTACAAAACCAATACTTGAAAATTAATCTGATGCTCACTAGCGACTGGCCCTATTAAGGCAGTTAACCTGGGGTTCTAGTGGGAAGCCGTGACCAGTAGGGTACAGCAGGTTGAAGATGAGCCAGTAACTTATCGAAGATAACATTGTGAAGGAGTCGCACTATATTATGAATTGGCAAAAGTTAGAATTCATGCACTTGTTGGCCACTGAACCGGGTCCCAGTGGCTTAATGGTCTCTGAGCTAGCTCGCCTTGTAACCAGAAGGTCCTGGGTTCGAACCCCGGTGTGTGCGTACTGATGAAGAGTCCCAAACTAGAATGAAACAGCTGTCCAGTACTCCCTGCAGGTTTTCCAATGGTTCTCTAACCTATTTCAACTCATGATGAAATCCTCCATGGAATCAAACAAAAATCCCTACAAAACCAATACTTGATATTTTAAGAGTGACTATAAGTTTGTTACTGTCTTAGATTTAATATTTTGATTAAAGGAAATGTGTATAATAAATATTGAATGTGATTATTTGTCTATTTTAATTGTAGGCAGAGTTGAAACAAGATGAGAATGGAAAATTAAATCTTCGCCTGTAAGTTTTAATCATTAATTGCATAGAATAACCACTGGATTTCACCCCTTTTCCCTCCTACCTTTATCTTTATGTAATGATAATAATTTACTTTATGGATGAAGTCACCGTCAAAGACTGTGCAATAGTATATATACTGATATATATATATATATATATATATATGTATACTGATGGGGTCTATTATTGAACAATAATTTTACAGGACTGGACTACATTGACTGCTAGCTTAGAAATAGGGTGTTAAGTGGTAAAGCACGTTTACCACCACCTCACTTATTTTTGAAAGTTGCATCAGCCTACGCCAGTGGGTTGATTGCTGATGAAATCTCAGCACGGATACAGTAGAATTAGAATTATTTTTGAATTCGTCTCACTGAGCATCAGCTTTCAACTTAAAACTTTTCGCAGAAGTACTCCACTGTGATGAGAGAGTTGCCATACTCCTTCATGTAGCACACAAAGAAAGACAAAAAACAGAAAACAAAGGGATTCGAAAAAGGAAGAAGAAGAAGCAGAAATGTGAGGGAGAAAGAATAGTAGTATGGGAGAACAAATCACAAGGAGTGAATGTATCTGTACCAGCCATTAAGAACGATTTTGAGCCAGCCATATCACCAATTGTCTCCAACCATCCTAAGGACCCAAACCAGGAAGTCTACATCTCCCAACGTGGCTGGCTTAAACTAACTGTTGTAGATTTCATTGACTGGTGCCATGCTTTGGTTTGACCACCACTAGTTAATTCTTTCCCAACATGATCCTGTGTCAGGTAATATTGCTCGTCGACGAAGTCGATGGCTAAGCATGTCCAAACCATCTCAGTCAGTGTAACTTCACAACATCGTCGACTGATTTCTCTTCCTTACGTAACGCTCGGCGCCTAACTTCAATATTGCTCACCTTATTATACAACCACTTCACATGGGAGATAGAAGACAGGCATCTATATTCAAAGACAGCTAGCCAGGCCACTTTCAATGGCCATGTCTCACACTTATAAAGGAGGATGGATGGAACTGTTGAGCCGCACACACTTCTTTTGGTCGACGGTCAACTGGATATCACATCTACTCCGGAGATGGTCTAGGTTGGCCAGTGCCTAACTAGCTGAGATTTCGTCAGCGATCAACCTGCTGGTACTGGCTGATGCAACTGCCTAAATAAGCGAAATAGTCTACACGCTCTACAACTTCACTCCCTATCTTTAATCTAGGAGTCAATGTAGTCCAGTCCAGTCCTGTAGCATCATCTTACATTTGACAGGAGAGGATCGCATGCTAAATATTTGCAGATTTCATAGGATATGACAAATCACCAAGAGTGAATGTATCTGCGCCAGTCATTTACTAGGGTGATTTTGAGCCAGCCATATCACCAACTGTCTCCAACCTTCATTGGTTCTTACCATTCCGAGGACCCAAACCTGTAAGGTAGTCTACACCTCCCTACGTAACTGGCTGGCTTAAACTGACCGTTAACGACTTCATGGACTGATGAAGCCATGTTTTGGTTTGACCACGACCACCACTACCTCTTTTCCAACCTGATCAATCCTATATCAGCCAACATCTCCCGTTGAGGAGGACAGGTTATGGCTAGGCATGAGTAACACAACACATTTCCTAGCTTCTTCCTCCTCTTTACCTAACATTCTATGTCTAACTTCAATAATACTCATCGTGTTATATCACCTAACACGAGAGACAGAACGTAGACAGCTATGGTCAAAGGTGGTAGGTAGCCAGCCAGCATACATTATATAGGTTTTCGCCAACTATCCTCATTATTCCTTTTGATTTGTAACTTATAAGATTGTATTAAATTACGTCTGAACTACACAGTGTGACTGTTTCCACCCACCTACCCATCCTCTCCCTCATTCTCTCTCGCTATTATTTTCTATCCTACAGATTTCTACATCATTCAATTAAACTTTTCCAGTTGGCTGTAAAACAATATACTCCGTTGATTATCATGAATAGTATATTGAATGCGAATGGAGAAACTCTATTCAAACAAACTGTTGATCAGATCTACTCTCAGGGATCTGAGTTGAAAAAATACGCCTATCAGGCGGCTAATGGTTCGTCATCATCTTCATCCGAAGTAACTTTACAGTCACCATCTACAGATTTAACCCACTTGGACCAGCTTGATGAGCATGATGATAAGGAACTTGCTCAACTTATGAAGGAAATGCAGGAATCTATCAATGGCTTATATGCTGATCTGTACGTTCTCGACATTCTTTCTTCCCCGTTTGCCTTAGTATTATCATTGTTATTTATCATAATGTTGTACATATATATATTTGTGCGTCGGTGGCACAGTGGTTAGGACTTTCGCCGACCATTCACATGGTCCGGGGTTCGACCCCCTGCCGACGCACACCCGATATCTATGGTCGGCCTACAAAATTTGGGCTACCGATATCCATGCTGAGAATTCCATACATGTACTGAAAATACGGTGTGGCATCAAGCTGTAATCAAAAATATAAAAAAATAAGTAAAAATATATATTTATACCTGTTGTCTGTTTAGATTAGAGGTCAACAGGTCAATAATTCAGTTTAATGCGTGATTGCTTTTTAGTGTATGTTGTGTGGAAATTTGTTTGAAAACAGCCATGCCTAGAGACTTTTGTTATTGTCGAACAATCTATGATGTGGGTTCAGTCATGGTTACTTGATTTTAAGTTGTTAATTTGCCTATTATTATTATTCTAAGCGTTTGAATTCCTGTCTTTCATTTATATGGCTGTTTATTATTATCACTTATCATTATTCCCTTGGGTTCCGAGTGAAACATAGGGGGGCTTCAACATCACATCTTCCATATTGTCCTGTTCTCTGTGGTCCTGCTCGTCAGCTGGCTCTACAATTGCTCGTAAGCTTTCATCTCCTCATACGATCTCCACCGTATCACCCACCATCGGACTCATATCCAAGTGGATGTTTTTCATCATTCGGGTTCTACCCAAGGTTATGCCTGGAGCGTGACGTCATTCGGGGGTGGCCTCAGCCTGTGTCCGATTCATCTCCATTTTCTTCGGGATAGTTGTTGAGCAGTAGGTGCTTAGTTAGCTCATTCACAGAGTTGCTTATTATTGATTCTTTATAGCTGGCCATCTGATCTTCAAGATGGAGCCAGTGAGAGGGGACAGCTGTTGATAAAAGTCTGCGCAGTGCAAGTTTCTGACCCATGTGGAAGGACTGACTGACTTGTCATTGGTGTTGAAAATCCGGATTTTGTTGTGTTTGCTCCGGCAGAATGCAGAATATTTCCAAACTGATTTCATAGGATGAAGCAAAAAGCATCCTTGACAAATTTAACGATGTGTGCATTCTGCAACAAATTTTACCACCGACAAAGAAAGTGACTCCAGTATTTCATTCCTAGACGTCCTTATGATTAGAAAAGAGGACGATACAGTAAGAAGAAGGGCATATAGAAAACCTACATCAACTGGTCAGTATATTCATTTTTTCAGCTTCGCGCCTTTGAAATACAAACGCAATTTTTTGAAGTACTTAGCCCACAGTGCAAGAGCAATCTACTCTGACGAATGTCTTAATGAAGAGCTTAATATTATTAAACAGTTGCTGAGTGAGAACGGTTACCCAGAAAAATTAATCGATAAGAATATGAATGAAATGTTAAGACAGGCCAGAATACTAACAGTTTCGAAAAAGGCCTTGTTCTTACAACTTCACTTCCTTGAGGATAACATCAATGAGATATTAGCACAACGCCTAAAGGATGCTGTGGTAAAAAGGCCATTCAGTGCAGCTGAAGTATGCTGTCGGGAGTTAAAGATAAACTTCCTAATTTCACTTCTCTGTGTATCTATCAGTTTGACTGCTCCTGTAGAGCCACTTACATAAGCCGTACAATTAGGTAGGCATGTTTATCGTCGGATTTCCGAAATCTATCTTGCATGGTTTAGGGACAAACAAAGTCCATTCATAGTTCCATAATATCTCATATTGTAGATACAGAACACAAAATTGTTGAAACAGCCGTCTAAGTCATCTACCGTATACCAACTAAGCTTACATATTGCTGAGGCTGTTGGGATCTACATTAAGAAGCCTAACTTATGTATCCAAAAGAAGATATTGGTTCAGACACTGTCCTCACCTTGGTCATCAAGGTTTTAATGTTCCTCAATTTGTTGCGGAAATTTCCTCAATTTTATTTTATATTCTATTGGTAAAGATGACAAAACCAAGTGTGGACTGTTGGATTTGATAAGTGTGTAAAATTATAAAGGCAGTGTGTGTTTACATAGTGAACTTGCATATCACATTCGTGTTGATTTTGTCGCTTCATGGGAGACGGGGTTGTTATAACCAGGTCAAATTCTGTTTGAGTCCATCATTCCTATTCAGACAATTTGGATTCCACTTGATATGAAGTGCTTCTGGTGGTATTAGATGTTCTTTGTGATTTCTGAAATGCTTTTTCTGGATTATTTCAATATTGTCAAAATCAATTCTGTGGTCTGATTCTATAGCGTGTAGACCTATGGCTGATGATTTTTCAAGCTTATTATGCTTATTTATAACTTATGCACTTTTTCAAAAGAATGTTTACTGAATAAAGAATATGCTTTCCGATAACTTCATCATCAGTTTCTACAGTTATACATGCATACTAGTGAATGAATTAGTGTTATTAACAACATTAATGTTGTTTAAATAACATCGAATGAATAATAATAATAATATGAATGGACTACAGTTCGATAGCATCAACATAAAAATACACTAAATATCAGAAAAATTAAGAAAAATAATAATACAAATTCATGAATTTATGGTCTCCACTGAAGGCTGGCCAGGGCAGTAGCAGTAGTGGCTGTACTTGCTTTTTCTGTACACAGAGCACTAGTTGTTACAGGCAAATCGCGATAGCCACTGCTGTTTGGAGTTTGCGGTACCTAGATGTTTTTGGCGATTTATTTGGTACCCGATAGATGGCGAAGGAGGACTCTTCAATATTAGTTTTGTGGCCAGTTTGGAACAAGTGTTTTAATGTCGCGCTATTAATGCTTCTCATTACACCTTTATTTAACCACACTGGTAGATGTCTCCGAGCGAGCACAAAAATCATGTTCCAGGAGTAACGGCCAATATAACTCTCTCCATCACACAAGGTAATGAGGGGAAATCAATCGACGAGGACATGAAATTACATCGACTGAGATGGTTAGGACATGTGTTACGTATTCCTAGTCATCACCTTCCTCGACGGGCAATGTTAACTGATATAGGGTCAGGCTGGAAAAGAGTTAACTGGTGGTGGCCAAAGCAAAACACGGCTTCGTCAGTCAATGAAATCCACAACAGTTAGTTTAAGCCACCCACTTAGGGAGGTGTAGACTTCCTGGTTGGGGTCCTCGGGATGGTAAAAACCACTGGTTGGAAAACAATCGGTGACATGACTGAAAGTCGTTCTCAATGGTGCAGATGCATCCACTGCTTGTGGCTTATGATTTCGAATGAAACTAAATTGTTCTTCGATATTACTATTTGTTTTCTCTCATATCCATGTCTACTGTCTCTATTTTGCATTTCTTCTACTTTCTTCTCTTGCTTTGTGTGCTACATGGAGTGTGGCAACTTGAACTGCAAAGTTCTGTGTCGAAAACAGACAGACTCCACACAACTAGAAGTGACTAGTCTAGGTACTTCATCTTCCAATTGAGGGATCACCATCGGTTGTGTAGAGAATATGATTTGTGGCTTAGTTTAAAGCTGGTAAATGTTGGTATATATGTAATCGCAGAGCCGGAAGAGGAAATTATCGAAAAGAATATATTTTGCTCAAACTTCCTCTTTATTTCATAGTAATAAAGAAATGTCTTACCGTTCTGGTTCTTGTTTCGCTATCCTCATTGACGTCGACTACCTGTAGTTGAAACGACGCTTGCTGCTTATACAAGTGAAGAAAATGACCTTCTTTCGAATTTCTCCCGTTGTTAATGGTCGGTGATCTATGGTTGTTGGTTGGTTGGTCGGTTGTCTTCATCACTTCTCTCTTCTCTATTTGTTTTGTTAATGTCATTCTATATTATCGATCAAGAGTTTTAAATGTCCTCAATGGATAATTGATTTGTGATATGATTTCAGCTGCATCATTCGCCTATGAAAGGTTTTAACTTGACGTGTTTGTAGATATGGGCAAAGTTAAACTTTCGACACCAGTAACAACCAATCAGCGAACGACCTTGAACTGACCAGTCACATGAAGGAGGCGTTTATGATAAGTAGAAACGTATATTTATAGAAAAATGCATAAAAAAAGGATAAAACTGTTACAGTGGGTATCTTTCCCGAACGTGGGGCAAAAACATTTCCCAATTAGGCATGGGACTGTCAATAGAGAAGTCGCACCACATTCTATATATATATATATATATATATATATATATATATATATTCATCTAAATGACTATAAATGAGATCCATTTATAGCCCGTATCCTATTTTTCAATCGACCCCAAAATCCTTCAATGGAATTTGTATGAGTCCCTGTAACCGGATCCACGAAATCACTGGAGCGGTTCACTCTGTGATGAATGTTCCTACGAAATATTAAAATTAGTAGCTTATCCTCTCTAATACTAACTCGCTTCCAGCATATTCCACAACGATGGACAAATCCATCAGTTGACCTGGTATAGCTTTTTAGAGTCATTACGCCACCACACGAACAATTTCTCTCCTTTTGAAGCAAGCCTAAGTCCAAGCAATACTGAAATACACTATCCTCCTCGAATCGCAAACGTAACCTTGTAAGGGAACGCATTTGAAATGAATCAAGCGCTATACAACATTGAACTACCTTCGTGAATCTCATTGGATAATTCGACGTCGTTCGCTGGTTGGTAGTTACTGGTGTCTAAAGTTTAACTTGGCCTAGATATGTTTCCCCCGCCCCCTCCCCCCTCATTTCCCACATTACCAGTGGAATATAAGTCTTCAAGCTTAACCTTTAAAAAGTTTCACTGGCAGTTTACATCTTCGACAGTGTTAATGCCTAAGCCATTCACATTTATATATTTGATTTATTATAGACAAAATGAATGGCTTCAAGGATCCTACAGACAATTAAAACTTCACCAGATCAAAATGATCGATTCCAAGTCTCCTCGTTCCTGTATACGTCCTCGTCATCAATCATCAAATAAGAATTCAAACAATCTCAAGGATAAAATTCATGAAAGTTTTGATACATTTCTGGAGAATTCTCGAGATGAGTCAAATGTTGTTAGTGCATCGACATCATCGATTTCAATCGGTTTTTCAGACAGTGTTCACATGAGTCAAATTCTACCAGGAAAATGTAAGTTTTGTTTCATGAAAATGAGATCTGTGTAGTACGTTTGTAACGACAGAAGACGAGGGCCAGGCAACAGATTGTGTTTTGAGAAAATCAAGAGATATTTATAGATTTTTATGTACATTATTATTAGCGTTATTGTTAGCAGTGAAGCAACGTCTTTTGATTGGTTGTTTTCCTGCTGAAGGTTATTCTGTCATCGCTTTGTTGCCGTTTCTTAGACAGTCTGGTGATAGACATTTATAAAATTATATTTGTAAAATCTCAGCGAAATTGAAATGAGTAATTCCAACGTTTCGTTCGGCAATCTGGTCCGCACTTCTTCAGGAAAATTAATCGAAATTAACATAACAGAGGTTTATATATAAAAGGAACAACTCTTGTTTTTGAAACTTCGTCCAATCATGAGTCATGCAACAGGCATCAACATGTATAATAAATAAATAAATAAATAAAATAGTATGTTTATATATATAAAAGTACATCTCTTTTAAATTGTTTGTCCAGTCATGTGAATCAATAAACAGCTATCAATAGGTATAGTAAACAAAACAAAACAAAATCTTTAATATGAACTGTGATCAAAATTTGACCTCAAACTTTCAAAATTAGTCTACTTTTGTTAAAATATATGTGTATATGCAGTATCAATGGTGTGTGTGTGTGTGTATGTGTGTGTGGGTGAACAGTCATAAAACATTTGTTACTCTCATATGAGCTGTGATCAAGATTTGACCGGATAGTTACAAAATAATTGAGATGTTTTTACAATTATAATATAATTTTATAGATTCGTTATTCTCTCCATAAAAAGACGTAGACAATCGGGAATTTGATCAAGTGTGACTAGTTGTTGATACATATCCAATTTATTTATTAGTCAGGATTTGCCATGCATTAGCTAAGATCACACCTTCACGTGTGTTCAAACTGTTGGGATTCACCCATATGTGTAGGGCTTCTGCAGTCAGTCTTTCTTTATATGAACCAAAACCTTTCCGTAAAACCTTAGTCTTATGAAAGTCGATTTTGTGTCCCGTTTCTATCGAATGTAGTGCAATCGCTGAGTTGTTTTCTAGCTTCTTCAAGTCTGCAGAGGTCTTTGGAACCACCTTTAGACATTGTTTATGCCCTTTCATTCTTACATTTACCTGTCTGGAAGTTTCTCCTACATATACGGCGTTACAATCCCCACCATTGATCTGGTATACACAATTCTGCTGGTTTTCTTGCTCCATTTTATCCTTAACCTTCACCAGTAATGAGCGTAAGGTGTTTGATGCACGAAAATACACTCATATATTATGGTCGTTAAGGATTCACTTTATTTCGTCGGATGTTTCTTTGTGGTAAGGAATCACCGCTGTACTAACCCAATTCTTAGTATCAGGTTTTGATTCATCCTTATCTTCACATTTTAAATATCTATTTATGAAAGCTTTAGGATAATTATTTGATTCAAGAGTGGATTGAACCAATTTTAATTCTTTGCTAATATCTTCCTCCTCAGTAACTAGACGTTTGGCTCTGTTTGGCTCCGGTGATATATCTGCAAATCGTATCCGACCACGCAAAGTCTGCTGTGATTGGTTGTTGAGTTCCTCAAGGTTAGACTTTGTTCTTGTTTTTTTCTCATGACTTCGATTCGGGACGTAAACATTGACGTAAATTTCTGTCTGCAGTTTTGTTTTGCAGACAACTGTCACCACATTAGTAGTAAGTAACTAGTATCATGTGAGTAGTGTCCTTTGTTTGGTGCGGATTGAATTCTATCATCATGAGCTGACAATGAAAAAATCACCTGGTAGTACTGCCAGACACCTGTTGCATCCGACTAGGTTGGGACTCTTCGGCAGTACACATCCACTGGGGTTTGAACTCACGATTTTTCGGCGAACCAGGCGAACTTGTAGACTATTAAGCCACTGTGACCTGATCCACTAGCCAGCCCATGAATTCCAAATTCTCTCAATTCACGATATATAGCGCGATCACAAGCTAATATCATTAAGGTTGTGGTGAGGGCTGGCTGCTAGCTAAAATTGGTCAATAGTTATTTACATCAATATGTACGTCGCCAATATTAGTAATGAGAAAAATAAGAACAAAGACTGACTCAACAATCAATCACAGGAGACTGCGTAGGCGGATACAATTTGCAGATAGATGATCTGACATTCAAGAAACAGTCACAAAGAGATGAAAGATTAACGTTCAACAAGAAACCACCAATCAGAAGACTGTGTTTATTAGCTTACACTAATCTATAATAATGTACATGAAAATCTATAAATATGTGTTGATTTCCTAAATAAACGATCTGTTGCCTGGCCCTTGTCTTTTGGTGTTACAGGGGTAGGTATTTATCCTCGCCCGACCTGCTGTGAAGTCGTAACCATTAGTCGGGTAATAAGTATCGAAGGTGATGTTTGCCTCTGGGTTCTACATATATATTCAGATATTCTGCTTTCAATATTGTCATTGGATGGAGATGAGTCAGTGGGGGGGGGGATGACCAGCAAGCTAATACTCCGTCAACCTAAGCTGTTGCCTAATTAACTTCGTTGAGCGTGATGGGTCCGTTTTTATAGTAATTCACCCGTCGCCAACGTTTAGCTGAACGTTGAGTTGAATTAGAGACGCCTAGAGGTTGTCTACGCCAACAAGTGTATACAGCGGCTAGTCGACCTCTCAGACCGTAGCTTAAGCGAGAGCACACCAAAGACGAGGCAGAAAGTAACAGTATATTTACATAATGGAGTATAATTCAAAAAATCACCGAGGAGATGTATCAAGTTTAAACAAAAGGAAATATTTGCATACAACGGTAAAGAGATACGTAATATAGACAAGAGGTGAGTAAGATGATGAGTAACAAATAAATTGATTAAGTCAAAGATTACGTAATCAACTGAAAGAGACAATAAAGACATCCAGTTACGAGGATGGGCAAGGAAAGACTGATAACTACTGCCTTCTGAACACGTAAATTGGATTTCTGGCGTTTGATAGCGATTGCTTCGGCAAACAAGAAGAAAATTGAACTCTTTCGCCGTCGTTGCCTTTTCGTAGTCTCCACTTACGCGCCAACAGACTGCTGTTCGGATGAACTAAAAGATGACTTCTACCTGAAACTGTCTAATTTGCTGCAAAAGGCAAAACGTTCAGATGTAGTTGGTTTAGCAGGCGACTTCAATGCCCAAGTAGGGATGTTGTGCCAGACTGAGAAGTATGCCGACGAACCGACAACGGTGATCGTCTTCTTCAGTTTTGCTCAGATAATCATTTGTTCCTAGTCAGCACTAACTTTAGGCACAAAGAGAGACATTGTGTAACCTGGCGACCTCCATCACCAAATCAATGCTGTACTCAGATAGGATATCGTTGGCGAGGGTCAGTAGAAGACTGTTGCTCCTTCTGGAACACGTGCGTAGACTCTGATCACGCTCTGGTTCGCGCACGTTTATGCTTACGACTAAATGGACATAAGAGATTGACGGCAGCGAAACAGCTACGTCTCCAACTAGATCGAGACACTGAGTCTTTATGTTCATGTTCATGTTCAGAAAATCAGAGGTGTGCCTATCTTTTTGTTCTCCCAATGTAAATTTTGTGTACACAATTAGAGCTAACATGAGAAGTGTATCTGTCGACTTTTGATTGCACCAACGAAGACCGCGTTGTCCGATAGGTCGGAACTAACATGGCTGCAGGATAGGTTCTGGCTAGCGAAGTATGCAATCTTCTGTTGACTGATCGTGCAACGTATTATCACCTTTAAAATCAAGTTGAATGGAGATAGGTTTTCGCCCCCCCCCCACCTCGCGTCGTCATTGGCATTTGAACCTTCCATACATGTTAGCAAATTTCTGTAGGTAACCGTTGTTTTTCAGAAATTCTTCGTCTGATTTTTGTTGTAGAACATATTCTCCTGACTCTATATAAACACAAACAGAGTTATGACTAGTGCTCTTTTATAGCTGTTTTCAACAAACATTGGTCGTATGATCTAATTTTACAATTTCCTTTTATTATTATTATTATTTCAGCTTTAGACAGGAGTAATTGTCAATCAGACTTGCGTATGAACTCTACTTTCACCTCACCAACGGAATCTTCATCATCCTCATCAGCAGTGGATAATAATAATTCAAATGCTGCATCAAACAATGACATCAGTATGAATACTCCTCACTTAAATGATGATAATGATAATAAGAATAATAATACAACTGTGAATGTGTCCTTATCTCCTGAAGAAAATTCATTCTATACAACGCCGAAGTGTTTCAACTCTTCTCCCTCTGCTTCTTCGTTGAAACAACAGGAAATAGAAAATGATTTACAAAAGTTAGGCATAAATCCAACAGATGCCAGTGAGTTTTTTTCATTCATAACTATGATAAGCTAATCTTTGAGTGTGTGTGTGTGTGCGCTTGTTTGTGTGTTGGTTTGAGGCGTAGATTTTGATTGGATTCAAGTGTGATCACGAAGTGATTTTAGTTAGAAGAGAAGCATTGAAAACAAGTAGGGTGATGTACTGGACAGCTGTTTCGTCCTTGTTTGCGATTCTTCAGCGTTACGTACCTGTGAACTCCATCGCTAGGGGTTGAACCCAAGATCTTTAGGTTACAAGGCAAGCTCGTTGGCCTTCAAGAAGTAAAAGAATGTGTACAACGAGACCAGTACCATTTTGTTCAACTTATTTGCCTTCGCAAGTTCACATATATGGATTACAAAAGTTAAATAACTTTATTTCTAAAACACCGAAATACCCATTGTTGAGTAATGAAAAAATAAAAGACACATTTCAGCGAGTAAGATTTTCTTTGTCGATGAAATCATTTCCACAGACTGTACAATCGTATTTATATTCACCTAGAAACGTATAATTAGTCCATTATTAAGAAATTGGGTGTTGGGGGGGGCGGCGGTTGACAGTTAAGATCCTGAAGAACAGCTAATCCAGACCGCGAAGAAGTCTTCTTTTCATTTGAGCTATGGATCAATTTATACGGTCGACAAATGATTACTGGACGTTTGGAGGATAAACTGCCGCCTTGGGCCACTTCATTGTGGGTTTATAGATTCACTTGTTCCTGTGGAGTTAGTTATATTGTCTACACAAAGCTTGCACTTTCCAAACGTATCTCTGAACATTAGCTTTAGCGTGGTCAACGAAATGACAATGCAAGACAATTACTAGTTCACTTCTAGAGCACTTATTGAACTAGGCCACGCAGACTCATCAGAGTCGTCTTTTAAAATTATCTACAAGGTGAGACAATGATACAAGGGGTGTTAGGTCTTGGAATTTGTGTGTAACGGAGGTGCTGGCGATTCGTTGATACAACTGCGAGCTCTCTACGCATAAAAGTTTGTCCGGTTTCTTATTGTACTGTGGTCTTAACCTCTTCATTAATTGTCCCCGTGATAATTAGCTTGCTTTTATTTCTTTAAAATAATTAATTCACTATTATCGCTCTCATATGTTCCTTTTGTACATTTTCTCACCCTTTTCACACTTGTTAAATGGACACTCAACTAACTTTCTTCTCACTACTCAATGACAATTTTAACCTTATCATATTTGTTATCCTTTCTCCTTTTATGTCGTTGAGTATTACGTAATTTTTAATTTTACTACTAAGGGCACGTGTGAGTAATTACATCAATTATGTCACCACCCACACCCTCTCTTACTCAGTAATGGACTACTATACGTTTTCTGGTAAATATTGATACTATTGTACAGCCTGTGAAGATGATTTCGTTGATACAGAAAATTTTCTTCACTGAATTGTCTTTTATTTTACTTCATAATTGTATTTTTTTAAAGTGTACATCAGTTTTACGACAAAAGAATTATTTTAAAAAAAAATACTGATCTTATTGATATGATCCTTTTTAAATTTTAGTTCATTCAAAACCACCCCAACTGTCTTCATCTTCCCAAAATATCCCCAGTATAAGTGAAGAAACCTTGAAATTTTCGTTCCCCATCACTAAACCGTCGTCTTCGAATCAATCAAATGAAAGAAGCAATTGTGTTTTAAAAGACTTGTCTAATGTATCAAATTGCCAGTTGTGTAAGTTCAATCTGGTCCATTTTTATTTTTTTTTTAATTTTATGCAAACCACTTTAGTGTTTAGCATACAATCAATCGGTTCTATCTTTATTTACCTTGTGATTAACAAAACAAGGAAAGTAAGAACGAATATATTTGCGGTTGCAGGATACTACGAGAAACATAAATTCCAAAAATGTTGGGAGTAGACAAAATATTAAGTGTTAAAAGACTAACTATTTATACCATAATTCGACGAGGGAGGAGGTAGAATTCAGATTTGTCTTGGAAACAAGCATGAACTAGAGAGAGACAAAGGCCAAGTTAAACTTTAAGCACCACTAACGACCAATCAGCGAACACCATCGAGTGTTCCAATGAGGTTCACGCACGTGAGTTCATGGTTGTATAGCGCTTGATTCGTTTCAAATGCGTGCTGTAACGAAGTTATGCTTGCAGTTCGAGGAGGATAAGGTTTTGCAGTATTGCCTACAGTTGGGGTTGCTTAGGAAGGAGAGAATTTGCTCGTGTATGGTGGTGTCATGAGTTTAAAAAGCTTTAGCAGGTCGATTGGTGGATATGTCCATCGTTGTGAAATTTGTTTAACAGGAGTTAGTATTAAGGAAGGTAAGCTGATAATGTTAATATTTCGTAGGTCGAATCTCTCCCTAACCCAGATTTTGTATATTTGCAACTACTGGGTTCTAAAGCAGCCTGTGGGAGACGCAGCTGCTGAAACCGAAAATAGTCTCGTGTCAACAGTTCAGTGATACGGGTACTGCAGAGACATTGCATCATGGAAAATGGAGAGAATTACTTCGTTATTGGGCGGAGAAGGCATCGTCATGCACGTGGACGAAACTGTGTTACTGAAGAAAGCATACAACCGTGGTTGTGAGCGAGCCAACAATGTTTGGATGATTGGTTTATATGCCACCTCCCTACGAAAGCATTCATGGAGAGAATACCAGACAGAAAATCTGGTACCTATTGTCACTCAACTGGTGAAACAGGGATCCATAGTACATACTGATGAATGGAAAGGTTTTAACTCGCTGTCATCTCTTGGATATATTCATCATAGAGTGAACTATTCCAGTGATTTTGTGGATCCCATTACAGGGACACACACAAATTCTATAGAAGGATTTTGGGCAAGATTGAAAAATAGGATACGAGCTATAAATGGATCTCATTTATAGTCATTTGGATGAATATATGTATAGAATGTGGTGTGACTTTTCTTTTGACACTCCTATGCTTGACTGAGAGATGTTTCTCTCACATGTTAGAGAAACATACCCTATATAACAGTTCTATGCAGTTTTTATGCTTTTTTCCGCATAAATATACGTTTTCTATAATCGAAAATCCCTCTTTCATGTGATTGGTCCGTTGAGGCTCGTTAGCTGATTGGTAGTTAGTGGTGCTTAAAGTTTAACTTTGTCGAGACAAAATACCAGATCACATACAACAGAGTGAATTTATGCACATTACGATGGAGACTTCATTATGGTGGGAGTGAATAGTAAAGCCACATTATGACATAGACGGAATAGTTTAGTAGATTTGAAGATTTCATACTGAGTTCAACTCTCAGTAAGGGAAAATAAAAATTAAGTGGGATGTTGTTACACAACAGAACAAAACAGTAACGGTTAACAGGGTATTGAGAGACTAGTCATGTTATCTTTCTGTATACAGAGCTTGGGTCGAAGTCCCTTGAGGCGATGACCTATGTGGAACGATGGTAACTATGGTCTTCTTCGAGGTTTTGTGATTATTTTGACTAATTTCTGACTCATTTCCACTGTTTGTCCCGTGTGTCAATTAGATGTCTGGAAATTGCACTTGAGGACAATTTGCTGTCTTTCAAACGGAAACTTTTAGAGAAATGCTCTAAAAATCTAGTATACACCATCCTCTCAGTTCTTTCTAAGTACTTCCTGCCGCGAATCCATTTGAATTGGTAAATCCAGTTGGAGTTGTAATGGGCAGGATGCTTATGTTCTTTTGACTAAGTTAAAGAGCATACGGTGTTGTAAAGTGAAATGAGTCTGCTGCCGGTGGGAAATGTTATCACCAATGCACCCTCAACTCTTTTCTCTGTTCTTGTGGATATCCCGACCGATAGCTGCTACCTTGACGTGGTGGTCGGGCTTGCACATCGCGATGACCCAACAAGCTGCACTGACCGGAACCAATGTTTCTGCAGGTTCTACCATGCCAGGAAGGTTGTTAGGATAGCAATTAGACTAAAAGCAGTTACCGGCATAGTGTACGAATTTTTTTACACTATCCTGGGGGTCTGTGGGGGAACAGGGATGTAACAGCAGTAAGGTGTTTCCCTCAGATGACCTGCATGCCAGCTATGCTGTCACTCCACTCTGGAGAGAGAGGGTTAGAAAAGGTCTACCCCGAAAATTGTACATCCCGACTTACCCTACGGTGGTCCGTAACCGCCGGTAAGTTTACTAATATGGAACCAAACCAAGAAACAAGTTCATACAAGCCGTGTGTGACCAACAGGCCTCAAGCAGTTGTCCGCTGGGCTATGCGGTCACGCAACACTAAACCTCTTTCTGTTTCAGGTACCCGAAGAATCAAGCAACTTCCACTGTGTTGGCAGCCGGGAAGTAACAACCACCCCACCCGCTTCCAAAAGCGCACTAGTCTTCTGGATATTTCTTCCCCTTTATACACCAGACAGAGACTAGCTAGCTGCCTTTGACCGTAGGTGTTTGCGTTCTATCGCTGGTGTTAAGTAAGCGGTACAACATAGTGTGGGTGAGCAATATTGAGGTTAGGCGTGTCAAGTCTTAGGGTAAGGAGGAAGGGAAGTCAGTCGATGTGAGATTGTGAAGCAACATTGATTGAGAGGTGGCTAGTGTGGTGTGTGCCCCATTGACCAAGATTTATCAGTAGTATATAAAGAGACGTTCATTGGCACACACACAAAAATCTGAATTAGCGGACAGATGAACGGATTTGATGTCAAAGATAGAAAATGTGGACCAGTATTGCGCGGAGACAAGGGAACACAATACGAAGAGCAGATGACACATTCACTGTACTTAGAACACAGGATATAGATAGATTTTTCGAACACATCAACTCGAAGGTAGAGGCAATTCAATTCACTTATGAATTGAAAAGTCAGGAAAGGGAGCTTCCAATGTTAGATTGTAGCGTAAAAAGGAAAGAAGATGGGAAGTTAAACACTAGTGTTTACAGGAAACCCACACATTTAAACAGATATTTGGACTTCCGATCATCTCATCCTATGTCAGTGAAAATAGGATTTGTGAAATGTTTAAGTGACAGAGCACAAAAACTAAGTAGTACCAAGGAAAATCTAAGACAGGAAGTGATACATATAAGAGAAGCCTTGAAACTTAATAATTACCGGAATAAATTAGTCAGGAAATATGTAGGGAAATATAAAAATAAAATAATGATAGTAATCATAGTGATAATAATAGTAATAGTAATAATAATGACGATATGCATGTCAAAAATGCGCAAGACAACACCAACAATAAGGAATCTAAATCATCAGTAGTAATTGCATACAAGGAAGGAACTTCATAAATAAGATAATAAATCTAGAGAATAGTTCAACTATACCACTCATTGCATGCAATTACACACAACCATACAATGCGATGCATGGGATAGGATGACAGTTTTAAAAACTAACGTAACAGGGTGGAGGGAGAGACTGATAACAGAAGCCTTGTTTATCGAACCAACTGCGAACACATGTAAATAGGAATGATTCAACACCTGTCCAGTCGGATATCTGGAGAATTCTACTACCCCAAAGACGACAAGTAGGAGAGAACAACGAAAGGTTTAAAACTGAAGTTTCGCAGTCGTGCGATTACAATTGATATAATTATGAACAATTAATTGCGTTCGAAACTTAGTCATCCAGTAAATAGTACTGCTTCACTGTGTGCTATATCTAATAAACAAACTAATTTGGAATTACTTACTACTACCACAGTGCCCAAGTTTTACATATATATTAATACGAAGAGCAGAAGTAGCATAACACAGAAGATATGTGTAAATGACGGATTTCATATATGATATGACATTCCGTTACCAAGTCTCTTGCCTTTACCCGTTACACTAGGACAGGTGTTACGCATACCTAGCCATCGCTTACCTTACATCAATGGGCACTGTTATCTAACATATGATTAAGCTGGTTAAGAGTTTGGTATGGGTGGTCAAACCACAAAGCTTCACATCAGCCCATGAAGTAGATAACCAGTTGGTTTTGAGTCAGTCAGTCTGTTAGTCAATATAATATTTGATTACTCCTCCTCTCTGGATCAATATTCCCAATCACGTGATATAGTTATTATGTATATCAACTTTTGTGATTTGAATTCTCAATCCCTCTTTTTTCTCTTCTCTTTCTTCTTTTTCTCTTTCTAATGACGTAAAAGTATCTGTCTCTCAAGAAATATCGGGAAAATTTTCACCTAATCAATTAAAAACTAGTTTTAATCTAATGGGTAAGTTAATTGTTTGTTTTTGAGAGTAGAAATTGTTATAGGATTGGATTGGGTAATCCGTGGATCGAGAGGTTCTATGGCAATGTTTGACTATGAAGGGAGTGCCAAGAAAGTACATTGCACTAATCGAGGCACTCTACTCAAACTCACGTAGCTGTGTAAGGGCTTATGGGGAATTGTCATCTGAATTGATAACAACCAGTGGTGTCCGTCAGGGATGTCCACTTTCCCCTTTTCTGTTTATCTTAATCATAGATATCCTAATGGAAGTATCCTTAACCGAACGTAACGACTTAGGAATCGACTTGTTACCAGGGAATAGTCTTATAGACTTAGAATACGCAGACGACATAGTCCTGTTAGGGGAGGACGCTGACAAAATGCAGAGTCTTCTGAACACCTTGAGCAGCAATCTTCGTATGTTTGGCATGCGATTCGCCCCTGCGAAATGTAAGATGCTGCTACAGGACTGGACTACGTCAACTCCTAGCTTAGTGATAGGGAGTGAAGTGATAGAACATGTTGACCACTTCACCTATTTGTGAAGTTGTATCAGCACCAACGGATTGATTGGTGACGAAATCACAGCACGGATCCAGAAAGCTAGGGCTGCTTTCGCTAACTTACACCGTCTCTGGCGTAGGCGTGACATCCGACTGTCAACCAAGGGACGTGTATACTGCTCAGCAGTTCGCTCCGTCCTTCTCTATGGTGGTGAGACGTGGCCATTGAGAGCGGAAGACATGAAGAGATTGCCTGTTTTTGACCACAGATGTTTACGATCTCTTTCTCACGTTAGGTGGTATAATAAGGTAAGTAATGTTGACGTTAGGCGTAGAGTGTTGGGCAAAGAGGGAAAATCAATCGAAGAGGCCATAAGGTTACATAGATTGAGATGGTTAGGCCACGTGCTGCGCATGCCTAACCATCGCCTCCCTCGACGGACGGGCATTACTAGCTGATATAGGTGCAGGTTGGAAAAGAGTAAGTGGTGGCCAAACGAAAACATGGCCTCATCAATCCATGAAATCCTTGACAGTTAAACTGAGTCAGGTAGGGAGGGAGATGCAGACTTCCGGGTTGGGGCCCGCCCTCGGGACTCTAAGAATCAATGGCTGGAGACAAACAATAGGTGACATGGCTCGAAATCGTTGTCAATAGCTTACGCAGATGTATTCAGTCTCTGTAATCTTTCATATTCCTTTCTACCATTACTCATTCTGTTTCACTGTTATACTTGTCAAAACTCTATTGATTCTCTTCTCTCATTTTCTTGTCTACCTTTGTGTGCTATTTGGAACGTGGCAACTGGAACTGCTGGACTTCGGTTCCAAGTTCTATGTTGAATCCAGACAGACAGACAGACAGAAATTGTTATAACGCGACTGCTGTCTAAGTGACTGGTTTCAGCGTAGAACTTTGCACAGAGAGGAGAGGTTCAGCAGTTTGAGTTGCCACACTTCACTTAGTACACAAAGCAAGAGATGAGAGTGAAAATAGATTCAAAACAGAGATATGAGACAAAAAGAATAGTAATACCATTATATCATTATTCCGAGTGAAACATAGTGCTTCAACAACACATCTCCACTTTTTCAGCTTGGTCCACGATTGCCAGTAACCTCATCATCTCCTCCTCTTCCTTCTCATATGATCTCCCCCATATATCACCCTGGGACGCCGCAATTACCGTTTCCCATACGAGGGATAGTCTGGCGCGTGGTGCCGTTCGATGGTCTCTTTATTGTGTGTGTGTGTGTGTGTGTGTACCCAATCGATATCATCCACTTTCTTTTGCATATTTGTTGAGCAATAGGATCTTGGTTACTTCGTTCCCAGAGTTTCTCTTGTTACTAATTCTTTTTGGCCCCCACAAACTGGAGGATATGCAAGTGAAAAGCAACAAGTTGACAGAAGAAGCATCCAGAGAAGATAAGACTTCAGGTGAACATAGAGAAAACAGAGGTAATGACGATTCCTGGACAAGAACAACAACAACAGACAACGTACAGCATAAATGGGAGGAACCTGAAAGAAACAACCTCCTTTACTTACACGGGAAGCATCGTCTCAACTACAGGCGGAACTGACGAGGATATCAAAGCAAGAATCGGAAAAGCAAGACAAGCTTTCACTACTCTCAAGTCTGTGTGGAGGTCAACAGCACTCAGAAACAAAAATAAGATACGGATTTTCAACTCCAATGTGAAGTCAGTGCTACTCACTATACGGATCAGAGACTTGCACTGCGCATCATGAAGAGCATCTCAAACAAACTACAGACCTTCATTAACAGTTGTCTTCGCTCAATACTCAAGACCAGATGGATGGACAGAAAAAATCAGCAAAAGGGATCTGTGGGAGCGAACGAACCAACTCAGCAGGAACCGATTGTGCTACAAATAAGCAGGAAGAAATGGAGGTGGATTGGCTGGCCATACTCTGAGGAAACCATCAAGTGACATCACTAGACAAGCCATTGCTCGAGTGGAACCCGAAATGGAAGCGGTGAGTTGGTCGTCAGTGCAAGGGTGACTTGGAGGAGGTCATGTGAAGAGGAGATGAAAGCATGTTCCTCTAGGAATTAAAGGAAATAATAATAGTAATAAATTCTTTTTTGCCAGCTGGCCATTTGATATTCAGTGTATGAAACCAGCGAAAGTGGGCAACTGTTGATAACAGTCTGCAAGCTTTTAGAAATATTTTTCGTGACACGCCGGACAAGTTTCTGACCCATATAGAAGAACTGACTGACTGACTAACTGGCTTAACATTGATGTTAAAAATCCGAATTTTGTTCTGTATGCTTCACAGTGCAGAGGAGGATTTCTAAACTGATTTCCAAGTGATGACTGTCTGTGTTGTCTTTTTGATTCTGGTTTCGACATCGCTTCATGCATTATACCTATGGTCTAGATAAGTGACATCTATTTCAAATTCCTTCCGATGATAGTGATTATTGCTTTTTATTGTTGTTGTTGGTTGGTCTCACAGCAGGCCAGGGTAGCAGCTATAGTTACTTCGCCCGTCTTTTATTTGTCTGCAGAACTCTGGTTGTTTTGAGCAAACTAACATGCCTTCTGTCGTTTTCAGCATTCAGTATCTAAGGAGAGGCATTGGACGATTTATGCACTATCTGATACTTGATGCTTCACTGATGGATGACTTTCTAGCTTGTGTGGACGAAAACTCAGGCAAGACATCTCATATGTTGCTGTGCCTAAGAGTGTGTTACGTCTATTGTGCTAAGCCTTAATAATGATACAAGCTGATGACAAAATCCTCCTCAGTAGACGAGGGAAGGTTATTGGAATGTGTGCTGTGTCGGTTTTCAACGAAAAATCGAATTCTCTAACCAATCAATATAAGCGTCTGTGGCGCAGCGGTTAGGACGCTCGCCGACCATGCAACATGGTCCGGGGTTCGATCCCCGACCGCCGACGTATTCACTTACCTCGCTAAGCTAGAAATAAAAGCTGGTAAAGAGGAAAGGTTAGGCATGAGGCTAGCAACCCCATCCTGTAAAAATAAACACCACTGCTACATAAACTTCAAGCCTCTAGCTTGAAGGCGCTCTATGTTCCACCTAGAACGTGAAGGAATAAAAATCAATATATAAGCACTACAGGCTGTACTTCTTCATTATCCAACAATAGTGATAGGCATATTTTTAACGGGTTTTCTTAATATCCTGAGAATTTACTTAGTCCACTTTGTGATTGTTATTATCGTTCGTATTTTTTCATTTTTAGATGACGATTTAGACTTTGTCAATGAACTCCTTCCATCATCTCCAAATTAAATCTGTGCTGTACAAGTACACTAAGAGCATGTTATTTAATGTACTGATGACTGGAATTTATTACTATCATTATTACTATTTTGATAGATATATATATATATATACTAACTAACATAGATGTTCAGTGTTATGATGCAGTGATATTGGGCAGTGGCAGATTCGTGTACCATTATTATTATTATTATTGTTCCCTTGGGTTCCTAGTGGAACATAGGGCTTCAACTGCATGTCTCCATTTGCTTCTGTCTTCTGCTGTACTTTTCACCTGCATCCATGTTATTCCATACTGTGTCAACTCCTCTTCACACGATCTCCTCCATGTCACCCTTGGACGCCCCACTCGCCGCTTCCCTTTCGGGTTCCACTCGAGCACTGGCCTGACGCGCGATGTCACCCAGCGAGCGGCCTCCTCAGCAAGTGTGTCCAATCCATCTCCACTTTCTCCTGCATATTTGTTGGGCGATTGGTTCTTGTTTTGTTTGTTCCCATAGTTTCTTGTTGGTGATTGTTTCCGGCCATCTGATCTTCAGTATAGAGCGACGAAGACAGTTGTTGATAAAGGTCTGCAACCTGTGGGAAATAATCTGATCCGTATAGCAGAACTGACTTGACGTGTGTATTAAAAATCCGAATTTTGTTGTTGATGCTGATGTTGGTGAATGTGTTTTTCGCCTTCCCGATTCTCAATTTGACATCCTCGTCCGTTTCTCCTGTAGTTGAGACAATGCTCCCTAGATAAGTGAATGAAGTAACTAACCTCTTTCAAATCCCTCCCGTTGATAGGTGAATAACGGCACGTAATGTTGCGTTTATAATCAAGGTATGCGGTTTATAGAACAATATAAATCAGGACAAAACAGTTCAGCGAATATATATCTGTGATGTCTATAAGCTACTGTCATTTCCGTTGTGCCAGATATCTTAGAGACGGGGATATATAACCTTACAAATAAGACCTTTTTGCATTGACTCTAAGAGTGGTATCGTCTAGCGTAGCACTCCACTGTAAGTTACACAAGTTAAAGGACAAATTTCTGCATATGATGACTTCACTGTATGTACCCTATTACTTCATTTTGTGAAACAAGATATCCCTAGTTTTGTGTTTTTCCAAAACCCTACCGAGCATGGCTGTAAAGAGGCGGTATTGGTTCAATCATAAGATGCTGTAATCGAGCATTTCACAAGAAGACTGACTATCTTCATGATTAACTAGGATGACCAGCTATCTACATTACACGAACTACAAAATCTCAGTCATTTGCAATTATTATTAGACTTTCATGTATCTTACAGTCTGACTAGTTACAGAATTTCATCATGAGCTGACATCGGTTAGAGAACCATCGGGAGTACTGGGCAGCTGTTTCGTCTCACTAGTCTGGTACTTTCCAGCAGTGCGCCCCCCCTGGGTTTGGAATCAAGGACTTTTCGGTTATAGGGCGAGCTCGTAGACCACTTAGCCACCGGGACCTGATCCAGTGGCTCACGAATTCCAACTTCTGCCAATTCACGACTAGTCTGACTACGGACTCATATTTTTATGTCTATTTAAAAGTATCCGGAGTTGGCTAAGAATAAATAGTGTTTTACTGACATAAGTCTTTAACAATAATAACAGTAGGAACTGTGTGGAGAATTAGTGTTGAGTTGATCACCTGTTTAATTACTGAAATTGGTATTAAAAGGGCAATTTCCATGCTACACTGGTTGATGTATGCGCAGCCAAATTTGAAAAAGCAGCAGGATGGTTGGCAGCTCCACGACTCCAGTCTTCCTCCTCCACGGGACTCATCATCTGCTATCGACGTAGGCGTTTAGGATTTATGGCTTTTACACAGGAGCGCATTGTGCGTCCGTGGTTTAACTGTAGGACACTCACCATCCACGTCTCATGTGGTCCGATCTCCAGCCAGCGCACTCCCTAACCTCGCTAAGCCGTCAGTAAGGAGGGAAGGTCGGGCATGAGGCTAGCTACCCGACCCCATGAAAATAAAACCACTACTACCAAAGCTTTTGAAAGCTCCAGCTTCAAGGACAATGTGCCACTCGGAACGCAAAAGAAATAAAAAGCCATAGGCGAGGTTAAGGATTACGTTGGTTGGGAATCGAACAAACATAAAGAATAGCGACTACCGCGTGCGGATGAACCTATGACCTTGACGGCCTACCATTCCTTCGACGACAGAACTTACCGTCTATTAGACATCAAAAAGCCGTCTTTCACTCTCAATGGCCAGGTCTCACAGCCATAAAGGAGGACGAAATGGACTGTTGAGCAGTACACACACCTCTTAGTCGATAGCCGGACATCACGTCTACGCCAGAGACGACCTAAACCAGACTTCTGTATCCGTGCTGAGATTTCGTCAACGACCAACCTGCTGGCATTGGCTGATGCAACTTCCCAAATAAGTGAGGTGGTGGTCAACGTGCTCTGCCACTTCACTCCCTATTTCTAAGCTATGAGTCAATGTAGTCCAGTCCTGTAGCATCATCTTACATTTGACAGGATAGAATCGCATGCTATATATTCGAAGACTGCTGCTCCTCAAGGTGTTCAGAAGAGCCTGTCTACAATTTGTTAGCATCTTCACCTAGGAGGGAAAACTATATCATCTGCACATTCTAAGTGAACGAGATTATTCCCTGGTGGTAACAAGTCAATCCCTGAGTCGCTGAAGTCGGGTCAGTTAGAGTTAATTCCATTATTACGATACTTATGATGAAATTAAACAGAAATGGAGACGGTGGGCATTCGTGACGGACACCACTAATTGTCACCACTTCAGATGACAACTCTCACTACGCTCCCACCTGGCTGACTGCATGAATTCGAGTAGAGTGAGTGTCTCGATCGCTGCAATGTATTTTCTCGGCATTCCCTTCACAGCCGAAACATCGCCATAGTACCTCTCGGTCCAAAGAGCCGAATACCGCTTTCAGGTCAAGAAATATGTCGATTGTTCGATGCCGGTAAGTATGCCACCTGTGTACCAGAATCTGTCGAAAGGTGAAGATATGATCAATACACCTTCTTCCTGGTCTAAAACACGCCTGGTTCTCCCGTGTTTGTTCCTCCCGAGCACTACTTACTCAATGCATGATTATTGAGCCTAGAACTTTAGAAACCAACCATATTAGTCAAGCTAATCCTCCTGTGATTATCACAGGAAGTAAGACGTGTCTCCCTTCTTGTATATCGGGATAATCAATGACTTACACCAGCCTAGTGTGGGAAGTATTCACCCACCACAGGTCGAGGGATCCAACCCAGAACCTTCCGGTCAATAACCAACCCATCAATTTTAACCTCTATCATTTCGTGAGTCTAGGGAGAAGTCGTGAGCAGATCTGCAGTGGGAACATATACTCGCTGGCGATGCCATCGGATGGTGGTCGTACTAAAGGGTGTAGAAGTTGATGAATTGATGAGCTGGCCATTAAGTCGGGTCCCAGTGACTTGGATGAATGGTCGACAAGCTAACGTGTACTGTAACCAAAAGGTCCTAGGTTCGGATGGGTGGATCCCAAACTAGGCTGACGAAACAGATGTCCAGTCCAATGACATAAATAAAAAAATCAACACCACTGATAGTGTGAGTTTTATACACACACTTCAAAAGAACAAGCAAAATTTGTATCTTCCATATAAATTATAGTATATATATATATATATATATATATATATATATATAATACAATATGTACAGACATTGATATAACTGTTTCAAAAGTGTACATATTCCTCATCTTCCTCCTTCTTTGTTCCGCGCTCTGTTGTTCATCAAACAACTACCGACAGTTTAACATTATAATATTGCGCTGATGTCGAATTTTGAATACAATATTTTATTATCTTATTATTATTATTACCAGTAGTAGTATTGTTGTAGTCAGTTTGAGTTAATGCATTCGATAAAGCACTTAAACTGATAAAGCCTAAACCAATTCCACGACCAATCGACTGACCATACCCACCATCTTGTACATAACCAAGGAGATAACGAGGCGGCATTTGTTGTTGTTGCTGATTCGATTTCTTATCATCATCATCGCCGTCACGACAGCTATTTGATTGGATCTGATGAATGCATTTCTCCCTCGAACTATCATAAAATGCATAAATACGTGCATAGGACTGCGGAACACCACGTTGTTCAGATTTCAAATAAACCTTGATTGTAATTAGCGGAAAAAAAATGGAATAAAAAACACCAGAGTAAGTAAGAATAAAATATACGAATAAGTTAGATTAGATAGTAGGAGAATAGAAATTCGATATATAATTTGCAATATTTCCTATTTAATTGATTGATTTATGAAGAACTCAGTTGGGGTCAGTCTCTATTGACATTTCAATGCCTAGTACAACAGACGCTTTGATGATGTTTCAGGATTGATGTGAAGCTAACGATGGAATCCAGGGTGCGCATTTCGTCCTATTTGGGACTCATTATCATCTGGGGACGCCTGCGATCTCTAGTGACGTATAGTAGTGTTTTTATTGAGATGCAAACCGAGCACCCAACGTTCTTGCTCCTCTTCCTACGAGTCACCTTCAGGCAGGCAGACCCACTGTGTTTTCAACGTGATATCTTCGCCAGCATGAACTTAATACTTCTTTTCATTCCACTGTGTTTCCAGTGGAACACAGAACTTCAAGCAATTGAAGTCTCATTAACGATGGTTTTGTTTAGATCACGAAGTGGGATTCCATTCCCAACCTTTTCTCTCTCCCGGGTTTACTGTTAGAGTATAAACTAAACGACGTTCAGGAGTGATGGGTGGATATTCCACCAATGAAGAACCACTGACATAAACACCGGTATTTCGCTACCAGGACTACAATTTGTTTGATTTTGTTTTATTACATGGAGGATTTCATCATGAGGTGACATCAGTTAGAGAACCACTGGAAAACCTGGGATACTGTAACCAGAAGGACTTGGGTTCGAATCCCTGTGGGTGCGTACTGCTGAAGAGTCCCAAACTAGGCTGACGAAACAGCTGTCCAGTACTCCCATGTTTTCCAGTGGTTCTCTAACTGATGTCAGCTCATGATGAAATCCTCCATGCACTCCTATTTGTGTTAGTGTGACGACAATGCAAAATCATAATGACCTTTCAAGTTTCGAAGTGGGTTATTTCATACTGAGGTGTTAGATAAACCATTGTGATGTGCATTCAATAAATTGTATCCCTCATGAATGTAGCCAATTATTATGACAATAATAATAATAATAATAATATTAATGGCGACATATATGACAGACACGCACAGAATAATGACAACACTAACAGTAGGGAATTTAAATCATCAGTAGTACTTCCATACAAAGATAGAACCTCGGAAACCACCTTAAGGAGAATTCTTAGCACTGCAGGAAGGAATAAAAGTGGCATTCAATCACTCCCAAACTCAATTAGCAACAAACTTTGTCGGTTAAAGGATCCTGTAGAGTTCAGCCAGTTAAACAAAACAATTTAGTTTATCTAATACACTGTAGCGATGATTGTCAGGTCAAATACATAAGTCGAAGTAGTAGAATGGGGTTGTCAGTGAGACTAGTTGAGCAGCACAAAAACCTAGCAGCAAAATCTAGATTAGCTGACCCGACACTACATACACAACACAGCAATACGATAGGATGGGATAAGATGACAGTTGTAAAATCTAATGATAATGGAAGTTTTATTCATTGAATCAACTGGAAATAAGTGCAACAGGAATGGTTCAACACCTGTCCACCGGGACACCTGGAAAATCCTACTACTAACCCAACGGAGAATAGAAAGGAATAAAGGAAACTATAGGATGAAAGTTTCGAAGTTTTGTAGTTATATAAGTGATAGTATGAATATGATTGGCAATACTCTGAGAAAACCATCAAGTGAGCGACATCACACGTCAGGCCATCACTCGAGTGGAATCCCAACAGGAAGCGGCGAGTGGGTTGTCATTCTGAGGGTGACATGGACGAGGTCATGCGAAGAGGAGATGAAAAAATGTGGGAAGTCATGGAGCCAGACGAAAACGTTGCTGGAGAACAGAACATAATGGAAACGCGCGACTGAAGCCCTATGTTCCTCTAGGACATGTGCTACGTATGCCTAGTCATCGCCTTCCTCGACGGCCAATGTTAGCTGACATACGGTCAGGCTGGAAAAGAACTAGCGGCGGTCAAACGCATACATGGCACCAGTCAATGAAATCTATAACAATTAATCTAAGCCACGTAGGAAGGTGTAGACTTCCTGGTTGGGGCCCTCGGGATGGTAAAAACCAATGGTTGGAAACAATTGGTGACATGGCTCAAAATCGTTCTCAATGGTGCAGATGCATCCACTCCCTGTGACTTATGATTTCCAATTAAACTGTTTTGTTCTCCGTTATTACTATTCCTTTGTCTCACACTTCTGTTTACTGTCTATATTATGCATTTCTCCTACTTTCTTCTGTTGCTTTGTGTGCTACATGGAGTGTGGCGATTTGAACTGCCGCACATATGTGCAAAGTTCTAGGTCGAAAACCGACCGACCGTTCCTCTAGGAACTAAAGGAGATAATAATAATGAATACGAACAGTAATGAATTGTGCTCGGAACATAGTCATCTAGTAAATAATAATACTATTTCACTGACTGTGTGATATATCTAATAAACAAAATTAATGTGGAATAACCTAATTACTTACTAGAATTAGTGCGTTTAAAAGTGATGGATTGTAGTTGTACAACTGTTGTATAGACAATTTAGCCCGATTGTCACCAGTTATCATTCTGTGCACAACTAAACGTAATAAAGCTGGTTCACGTAGAACAAACCAGTTATTTTTATCAACGGCGATTTTACCAGCTTCGTCAGTGTTAGCAGTACTTGTTGTTGTTGACGTCAGCCCATTCGAAAGAACATTAGGCGTAGGCGTAGAAGCAGTCATATCTGTAGGTTTTACTATTCCTGACGGATATTGCATAATCAATTCAGACCAAGGATAGGTGAATGGATGAGATATACCCATTTTTGTGTAATCGGGCCGGATATTCTGCGGAAGACGACTATAAGTGTGAACATTAAAGGAAAGTAAAAAAAGCAGGTTTGTATACTACTGAAATGACTATTAAGTACTTTGTCATAAAAAGTTATAAAAATAAAACTGAAATTTAACAGTTGGTGTACTAATGATTTATGATACTACCTAAACTGTCACTTAAATTCAAGTAGATGGAATTAAGTTCAAACTTAGTGCCCAACAATGGAAAGGCGAATGTATTCAGACTGTTGAACTGACAACCCCACCGCCCCGTATCTTTCAGGAGGACTCATCATAGATGAATGTAAACCGGCAACTCTAAAGAATAGCAACCCAAACCGAAACTACCTAGCGAACGGACAAATGACCTTGACGAGGACAACTTTGACCAATCAGAGAGCTAAAAAACGGCGCATAACTGCAATAAATCGTTTGTATACAAGTAATGCAATGTTGAAAAAAGTAGTTACAAAGGACAACGTTCTCGTACATGTTGCAAAAAGAAACCTGCCAATTTCTCGTAGGAGTCTTGATACTCATGTTAAACCAAGTTATGTACATAAACTCATCAAGATAACTGTATATCATTGCATTTCTTGATCCATTCACAGATCTGATACGTTTGTTTAGGTGAATCCAGAAACTTTCGATGGAATTAGTGTGAGTTCCATCAAAAGGATTGAGAAAACCAGTTGTATGGTTGACCACTTGATGAATATAGCCCAGATTCGATAACTGACTGTAACTACTCCATTCATCTGTATGAATAGTAGTCCCAGGCAGCACTAAGCGCTGGATAATAGGTAATAATACACCTGCACTGCGATTAGGAGTTGCCTCAATATATCCTTTCTGAAGGTTGATGTCATATATCCCCAATACCTATTGCTGATTCACACTCAATTTCCCTCGATTATATTTTCTTTTTATCAAAAGTACCTAAAGAATCTGTAAATTAAAAACGAACGACATACGTTCTCGAACTGATTTTCTGGTTCGGCACTCATTTCAACAACAAACAAACCCATCGATGCACCTGTTGTATCTTTTCACATGAATGACACCTCCACATTGGCAATTTTTCGACCTTCCTATCAGTCCGTTCTCCAAACAGTAATCAAAGCAAGACCTGAAGGGAATTTGCAAAGGAAAAGGTGTACAGCACCCATAAGTACGTCTGGATAAAACAGAGTCACCTGACTGGTTGCTCAAGGTCATTTGTCCGTTCACTAGGTAGTTTCAGTTTGGGCTGCTATTCTTTAGAGTTGCCTGTAAACCCAATCCAGACAGGATGGATGTGAAGATATAAGACATCCCACTTAAAAGATAACAATTTTCAGAATTCGACGAGTCATATTTTCTATCTTCAGAGATAAATTAAACTTCGAAGCTATCAGAATGTGATACAAACTATGAAACATGATGAAAAAAAGTTGTCACAAACTGGTTAACCAAACTGATAGTGTGTGGTGAGAGCTGTCTGCTAGCCAAAATTGGTAGACAGCAATTCACATCAATGTTTACGTCGCGAATCTTGCTCATGAGAGAAAAACAAGAACAAAGACTAACTCAACAACCAATCACAGAGGACTTTGCGTGGGCGGGTACGATTCGCGTATATATATGGTTTGACCTTCAAAGAAATGGCCACAAAGCGATGACAGATTAACTTCCAGCGAGAGAACAACCAATCAGAAGACGCTGTTTCTCTGCTAATAATAATGTATACATAAATATCTGTTGATTTCCTCAATAAAACGATCTGTTGCTCGGCCCTTGTCTTCTGTCGTTACAATAGTACTTTTACTCGATGTGAATACAAACTGCAAACAATTAGCGCATTATATGCATACAGAATTGACACCCCTTATCGACCCACACTTATACGAAACATGAACTGGATTTTAATGGCTCTAAAAAGAAGCAGTAATTCAACCTGTCGCACTTCATAAAGTGTACGTAAAGACAGAGTAAAATAAAGGAAATACAAAGAAACTATAGGAGAAAAAACAAAAATCTAGTTCTTTGTGCTTTTTTGTCAGTCATTAACCCAAGACGACTGAGTTTAGGGCTAGTGGCGCTTATCCAGGAAAATGAATTCAATCACTAAAAAATAAAACTTAAAAGCACAACACAAAAATATGAAACAGTTAGTGCTTCTATATATGGATCAATAACCCTTAGACAGCGCATCACGAAAAACATTTCCAACAGGTGGCTGGCTACAGACTTTCAACACAATGAATGCGTTCGCTGGCTCCATATTGAAGATCAAATAACCGGTCAGGAAGAATTATTTTTATTGTTTCCTTTAATTCCTAGAGGAACATAGGCCTTCAGCTACACGTCTCCATTGCACTCGATTCTCTCTTAAAGTTGTCACCTGGCTCCAAGTCTACCCACATGCTTTCATCTCTTCTTCACATGACCTCCTCCAAGTCACCTTTGCACTGACGACCAACTCGCCACTTCCCTTTCGGGTTCCACTCGAGCAATAGCTTGTCTAGTGATGTCACTTGATGGTTTCCTCAGAGTATGGCCAGTCAATCCATCTCCATTTCTTCTTGCTTATTTGTTTCACAATCGGTTCCAGCTGGGTTGGTTCGCTCGTTGCCAGAGATCCCTGTTGCTGATCTTTTCTGGTCGGCCATCTGATCTTGAGTATTGAGCGAAGAAAGCTGTTAATGAAGGTCTGTAGTTTGTTTGAGATGCTCTTTATGACGCACAGTGCAAGTCTCTGATCCGTATAGTAGCACTGACTGACTTCACATTGGAGTTGAAAATCCGGATCTTATTTTTGATGCTGAGTGTTGTTGACCTCCACACAGACTTGAAAGTAATGAAAGCTTGTGTTGCTTTCCCGATCCTTGCTTTGATATCCTCGTCAGTCCCACCTGTAGTTGAAACGACGCTTCCCAGGTAGGTCGGTAGGTAAAGGAGGTTGCTTCTTTCAGATTTCTCGCATTTATGCTGATTGTTGTCTGTTGTTGCTGTTGGTGCTGCCCAGGAATCTTCATCGCCTCTGTTTTCTCTATGTTCACCTGAAGTCCTATATTCTCTGGATTCTCCTTCTGCCAACTTGTTGCTTTTCACTTGCATATCTTCCAGTTTGTGAGAAATCAGACATATATCATCGGCGAAGTCCAGATCCTCCAAGTTTTTTGTATTGATCCATTTTATGCCTGTTTCCTCGCTGTTCACCGCAGTCTGTCGCATTATCCAATCTACTCCAATCAGGAAAATCATTGGTGATAGAAGGTAGCCTATTGATAAACAAAAATACAGATGTTCCAAATGCTTCTTATGATGCTTACAGCAACAGAAATTGGAGGGCCGGCGATTCAACACCAGAGTGCATTGATGACTGACAGTCTTAAACGGAGTGGATAATTGGTTTCCAGCCAACTTCACTGAGTTGTAACTTGCTAACCATGTTATCTGAAGGTCCTAGGGTAAACAGTCCCAGCACGAGGAGTAAACAGATATTTAATCCACCCCCCCCACACACCCTCACCCATAGTATCATAGAGAACAGAACACAAACTCAACATTGAATCTACTATTTAGAATTCGTTGACTAAACACTAATGACAAAGAAAAATATCCTGTAATAATTAAGATTTCGTCAGTAATCAGTCTATCAGTCAGAATGCCACCACCTCTAGTATAGAGTTTTGTTCATCAGTTAAAAAATCCATTCTTATTTATCATCACTGAGATTCTCTAACAATTCAGAATAGTTAAAGGATTACATCATGAGCTGACATTGGTTAGAGAACCATTGGAAAACCTACAGGGAGTACTACCAGACAGCTGTTTTGTCAACCTAGTTTGTGACTCTTCAGCAGTACGCACCCACACCACGGGGGTCGAACCCAGGACCTTCTGGTTACAAGGCGAGCAATCTCGTAGACCATTAAGCCATTGTGACCCAACCAATCCAATGGCCAGCGAGTGCATGAATTCTAACTTCTGCCAATTCTTTCAAGCATTGTGTACAGCTTTTTAGTGAGAAGTTAATTAAATATATGTGCGCTAGTTTATACATACTGATCATTTGATATGATCACACAACTAAAACAATAAGAAATGCAGAAGAGTTAAAGCATTCTGAATGAATGGAAAATCTTGTAGTCTAGTGATTTAACCAGGTTACTGTGAGAATAAAGTTTCATCTGACACTGCATGACCAGATACATTTATTGTCATGAGAAAAGTGTGCTAGACAGAGCACTACCAACTTACTGGGAAACAAAAAGTGAACGGTACTCTTTATTGTTACTTCCATTAATACACTGTTGTTAATATTTTCACTTTATTTATAGTTCTGCTTAACAATATAATCAATGTAAATGCCCTGTGTTTAATTATTATCTCTTTATAAGCGATGATAATGTTAAATGCAATACTGCTTTATATGCTGAAAATTCCAAAATACTATTTGAAATAAAGCAAATTATTATCATTACTATTGTTAATAAGTGTAATACTGCATCAAAAATATAAGAATAAAACTTGTGCACTGCGGTAGAGTATAATTCCACTATGCGTGAAATTTATTTTGATAAAGTCTCACAGGGTAGTGTTATACAGTAATATTAACTGATGACCACGTTTTGAGCACAATTTATTGATGCTCATAATCATATCACTGACACAACTTTCTACCTTCGTGTACACCATTCCATTATTTTAATTCATTGCTTGACTTGATCGATAGTAGTAGTATTTTGGATATTTCCGGTATGAGTGATGAGTCATTGCATCCTATTGCACGTGTTGGAAGTAGACTCGATGAATGAGGCAGCATTCAGTAATCAACCTCTCTCTATCTCCACCTACCTAGATTACTTTTTAGAATTTTAACCCTCTCCCACCCTATTGTGTGGTTGTGTGTTAATGCATGCATTGCAATTGCCGAGCTATTTTCTAAATTACTTATCTTCTCGGGGTCAACCATTCTTCCCTTAGCTAAATTCTTATGTTCCGATAATCTGATTACCCCCGGCCTACTAGTTTCACCTACATAGTTGACCTCACAGTCATTGTAGGGTATTTTGTAAATTATATTATTTTGTCTAATTCGGTCAACCGACAGAGTCCTTTAACCTACAGAGCTTGTCCTACCTGAGTGAGTTTGTAGGTTTAAATGCCACTCTAATTCCTGCTTTATTGAGAATCCTACGTAGGGAGGGTCTCAGATGTCCCCTCCTTATATGGTATAACTGTAGATGCCTTATATTCTCTCTTATTTATGTTATCATTACTAGTTTCACCATTATTTTTATTTTGCTTTTGACCTTTTCTGATCTTCCTAATGAATTTTATAGGATAGTTAGTTATTTGACACCAACGCTTCTTCCTCTGTCTGTTTCATTTCATCGTTTAGGTCTTTTCTTGTACTACTTAGTGCAACTGCTCGGTTTGTTAGATACTTAACTAAGCCGGCCTTCAGAGACAGACAACGGATGAGATGAATTAAAGTCTAAATACCTATTAGCAGTATGCGTTGACTTTTTATAAACGCTAGTGTATGCAGTTTACCTTCTTCTATTTGTTTTATTTTACAACCAAACATGATGGTTAATTCTCATTGTTCATTTTACGATTCAAATATGAATTTTATTCCCTCTACTAGTGAGTTTATGTGTGTGTCAAGATGCTAGAGAGAGATATGTTCTGTTTTCAACACTGTGTGTGAAAGTGTCATCCGCATATGTCCATTATATTTCTGAATGTACATTATCCTATACTGATTTTTATTCAAATGTCTAATCATCAGTTTTGCTCATGTATATAAATGAAGCAAGAAAGTTGTATGAGTGACTTGATATGATTATGAGCAATAAATTATTCTCCAAACGTGGACATCTGTAAACATTACTGTATAACACTGTGATACTGCATCAAAAAGCCAACAAATTCCCACTGACCTTGAGGCAACCAATCAGAAAAGCATCAGTGGCTTTTTCACATAAAAATGACGTTCATTTACAAGAGAAATACAGAGAGAATAATGATGACACACTAAACAAACAGGATATTTTTTTCCTGATGTGACTTGAAAATATCTTCCAATTATAGTGAGAAGTATCATTTTCTAGGTTAAACCAGTTACTCTACATATGTTCATCGAGGTGACTGAAAATAAGTTGTTTATGTGACGCACTTATCCCTCTTATCCTATTTTTCAGTCTTCGCCCAAAACCCTCGATTGAATTAGTACGATTTAGAGTGTGGAAAGTGATTTACGAGAATTCAGATGATGAAAATAAAACACCCTAACCTATAATCCTAACACCAAACCTAACGCTAATCACAACCCTAATCCACACCTTAACACCATCCCCAAACGTGACTCTGACGAGATATCAACAGATTATTGAAATAGTACTTGAAAACGAGACGGGGGAGAAATTTGCATCTCAATTTGTGTACAGCGTTCATAGTGACGGTATAATAAATAATGGTAGGTTCTCCGTTATCCAAAGAACAGTATGCCTTCAAAGTCATTGATGCGTCCGCACTCCTGGACCCCACTATACTTTAACTTGGCCGAAAATTCTTCTTCTCTTCTGCTATGATTCCTTTCAGAAAAGGTACCATTTATTGTCTCTACCAAAATGCATAAACAAATGCATAAATAAGTGACATTGGCTAGTGAACTGGCACAAGTTGGAATTTATGGATCGTTGCACCGAGTCCCAGTGACTGAATGGTCTACGAACTAACTTGCCTTTTAACCAAAAGGCCCTTGTCCCACTCAGAAAGTAAAAGAAATAAAAAGGCATAGGCGAGGTTAAGGAGTGCGTTGGTTGGGAATCGGGGAAACATAAAGAATAGCTACCACGGAGAGCGGATGTGCCAACGACGTTGAAGGCCTACCACTCCTTGGATGACAGAACTTACCGTCTATTATACATCAAAACGCCGTCTTTCACTCTCAATGGCCAGGTCTCACAGCCATAAAGGAGGACGGAATGGACTGCTGAGCAAAAGACACACCTCTTAGTCAATAGCCGGACATCATGTCTACGCCAGAGACGGCGTAAACTGGCATATGCCAAACGAGCCTTCTGTATCCGTGCTGGGATTTCGTCAGCGATCAACCTGCCGGCACTGGCTGATGCAAGTGAGGTGGTGGTCAACGTGCTCTGGCACTTCACTCGCTATTTCTAAGCTTGGAGTCAGTTTAGTCCAGTCCTGTAGCATCATCTTACATTTGACAGGAGAGAATCGCATGCTATATATTCGAAGACTGCCGCTCCTCGGAAGACCTTGTCTACATTTTGTTAGCATCTTCACCTAGGAGGGAGAACTATATCATCTGCACATTCTAAGTCAACGAGATTATTCCCTGGTGGTAACAAGTCAATCGCTGAAGTCGGGTCAGTTAGGGTTAAGTTCATTATTACTATACGTATGATGAAATTAAACAGAAATGGAGACGGTGTACATCCCTGACAGACACCACTTCAAATGACAACTCTCAGTACGCTCCCACCTGGCTGACTGCATGAGTTCGAGTAGAGTGAGTGCCTTGATCCCTGTGATGTATTTTCTCGGCATTCCCTTCACAGCCAAACGTTGCCATAGTACCTCTCGGTCGACAGAATCGAATACCGCTTTCAGGTCAAGAAATATGTCGATTGTTCGACGCTGCCGGTAATTATGCCACCTGTGTTCCAGCATCTGTCGAAGGGTGAAGATATGATCAATACAACCTCTTGCTTCCCGGTTTAAAGTCTGCCTAGTTCTCTCGTGTTTGTTCCTCCACAGCACCGCTTAGTCCATGCATTATTATTTGAGCCTAGTACTTAAGTTACCATATCAGACATGCTAATCCTCATGTAATTATCACAGGAAGACTTGTCTGCCTTCTCGTATATCGGGATAATCAATGACTTACACCAGCCTAGTGTGGCAAGCATTTACCCACCACAGGTCGAGGGATGCAACCCAGGAAATTCAGGTTACAAGTCAAGCTAGTTCGTAGACCATTCAGTCACTGGAAGCCGATTCCATGACTACTCCATCAATCCTAACCAATATGATTTCGTGATTCTAGGGAGAAAAGGTGAACAGATCTGCAGTGGGGACATATGCTCACTGGTGATGCCATCGGATGGTGGTTGTACTAAAATGTATAGAATTTGATGAATTGATGAGCTGGCCATTAAGTCGGGTCCCAGTGACTTGGATGAATGGCCTACAAGCTAACTTGTCTTGTAACCAGAAGGTCCTAGGTTCGAACCCCTGTGATGGCTGCATACTGATGAAGAGTCCCGAAGTGGGAAGAAACATTTGTGTGGCAGTACTCCCAGGTGTTTAGATTGTTCGCTAAACAATGTCAGCTCATTATTAAATCGTGTAAACAATCAAATCGAATCTCTGGAAACCAACACTTAAACATAAATCAATCAATCAATAAATTCAAAGTCAACTCACTTAAAATGAGTCAATTTCTCTTCAGTCACCATTTGAGCAGACTGTTGACCAGCTATCGTATCAGGCCATAAACTATCCGGGAAAGAGTAGAAATGTCCACCAGCACGTGTTCCCAGTCCAGCCCAATGATATAAATCACGTAGACCACCAACTTCAGCACCACGATAAACACAAGCTACAAGGAAATCACGTGCTGCTAAAGAACCACGAAGTAGACTGTCTTCGTCAGTATTATTCATCAATTGTAGAAAATTACGTCGTAGAATAATATCCCAGCCAATACTTTCAGGTGATGAACGTGTCAGTAAAGGTGTACTATTCTGGATTAAGAGCACATCCAGTTTATTTTCATTTGAAGCCTATTTAAGTAGGAAGAAAAATAGGTTTTTTGTTAAAAAAAAAGCGAATTATTTATGAAAAATCTACAACTGGCTGGACAATGAATGATAATGGGATATACGAAGATGTAGAACACGGAAACAAGTAGAATCCTTGCAAAGTAACTCTTCAAAATTATTCTGATACTCGCTGGCTACAGGATGAAGTTGCTTGGAGTTTTAGTGAGAAGTTGTGACCAGTAAGGTTCATCTAGTCGACAGTGTCTTCAAAGCTAGACAGCAGATAAGAGCTATGATCAGCTGACTGAAACTGATGTCAACATACTAAAGTCTACCAATCAGAAAACATATGAGTGACCTGAACTTGATTTCCAGCATAACGCCTACCTACGCACACCAGATTGACAATTTACTCGTTCTCTGATTGGTCGGCTTCAGTTCGTTACCAGTGGAGCCACTCAGATGTGTATTACTAATCCAGACAAGGTCAAAGTAATGGGTGTCGACAAAGAATAGGAATTTGATTGGATAACACATCTGTTCAATAATTAGTCATACATTAGTCACCACTTAAAAAGAAAAATAAGTGATACAGTCTCACGAGACATTGTAAAGATAGGTGATGCATACTTAAGCTATTTTTGGAATAATAAATGCTTAATTCGTAAAAATAATAATAATGTCATTATAGAGGATTATGCACTTGAATATGAAATTATTAGAAATCTTACTTTGTACAGTTTTGAACTTGTAATTCCATTAGCGCAACGCGTGTTTCATGAGTGTGTAGGGATAAATAATTCCCTTAAAAAATCACTACCTTTACAGGTGTTATTATTCAACAATGCCTATTCACCCTTGGTGTTTAAATCGGCTGATATACAGACAAGGTTGCTCACCAATTGGCAACATATGGTGTCACATTCAGTTGGTAAAGTGCACATCACTGCTCAAGGTGTTATTTTTGTCACTGTTAGATTTTGAGCGAAGCACAGTGCTTTTTCACCAGAATACCTCCATTTTGTCGTGTTCCCTGAAGTTCTCCTCAGCCTGCCTCAAGATCGATCGCCTATAAACTTTCATCCCCTCATCACACGATATCCTCCAATGTTATCCTCAAACCAACGCACAACTCGTCATTCCAGATACAGGTTCCGCTCGAGCAATGTCACACACACAACGGTCTCCTCAGCGTGCATCCAATCCAACACCAATTTCTACGGCACACCTGTTGGGCAATAGATTCTTGATTGGTCCGTTCCTAGAGTTTCTTGTTCCCCGTTCATTTTGCCATGGCATTTTATTTTCAGTATGGAGCCAGCTAGTGATGAAAGTCTGCAATAGTCTGATGAAAATACTTTTATTGACACTCAGTGGAAGTTTCTGGCCCATATAGAAGTCCTAACTGACTTGACATTCTGAGTTCAGAAGATTTCCAAACTACCCAGTATTATTGATACACACAAAATATATTCCATATTTTCAATGATGAATTCGCTTTCCCCTTTTGGCTTTCTAACTGTTCTCCAGTTTCATCGAACAGGGACATTTAGGAGATAGACGATTACATACACGACGTGCTCGTCGACAATGTATAAAAGTGTTTAGCACGATATGATCTGATCTGTATGCTGATGGTTAATCCACTTTATTTTATACAATAACTAGTCATCCACTGATAATATTTACCAATGTTACAAAAACAATAGAGTAGGTTTATCCACCAAATGTGAAAGTCAATGAAAACTGGTCACCTGACCATGTTTAGAAAAAGAATTATTTCACATCAGGAAAGTTTATGCTCCAATTTATTAGTATCGAAATATTTTTCCAGTGTAGTATAAGATATGTATTCAAGTCAGCTATATGCAATACCTCTGCACAGGGGTAATGATCTCTACAGTCTCATTTGCATTTAAACAATCGGTCGAGCAAAATGTTGAACGAAATTTCACATTGAAGTATCAAATTAACAGTTAGTTAGTTAGTTATCTGGTAAATCAACACAGAAAAAACAACAATTTTAATAAGCGAAAAGAATGAAAAGTATTTGCAGCTGCAGGATAATATGAGCGCGCTTGTTGTGGTTTCTCTTCAACTGTGTACATCCTAAACAAAATCAATTATACGTTTCAAAATGGAAAGTTCCATTTCCTCAACATTGCAATGCAACACCTAGGAGATGGTAGTCTCCAGAAGTCAATTTACCGAAAGCCTACATGGAAAGGACAATACCTACATTTTAATAGATTTTGTCCAAATGGCTTTAAACGAGCACTAGTCAAGACTTTATACTATAGAGCTAGGAGATTATGTTCTATAGAGAAATTAAAGGAAGAATTTGTATTTCTTGAAAAGATGTTGAAAAGCAATGGTTACCCTCAAATGTTCATGAACAAGGATGGAAGATCTGAAGGCTCAAATGTCAAGCAAATCACAGTGGAGAAAAGGCCCATCTACATTCAACTTGATTATAAAGGTGAAAATATCACAGCAATTTTCAACAGAAGATTGAGGACGTTACTAGGCACAGTCTATCTTGCAGCTAAGCTTAATGTTACTTAACTATTCACTCCCAGTGAGATTATCTCCAAGAAAAGTGGCGCGCTAATTAGCTCTCAAGATAGACGACCACAACGTTGGGAGGAACATTTTGAGGGACGATTTAACTGGCCTCTAGCCACACTCAACTTGCCCATCAGACAACACCTACGTCTGTATGGGATGTGGACATCGATTCTCTGTCAGTAACTGACATTATATAAGTTTTCTGTAGTTTGAAAAGAGACAAAGCAGTAGGATCTGATTGGATTACCCTAGATGGATCTGGGTTAACTAAGGTATTAGGCAAAGTCTGTGAATCCGAGATAGTCCCATTAGAATGATGTAAGTCATTGATTATCCTATTATACAAGAAGGCAAACACGTCTTCCTATGATAATCATACAGGTATTGATTAGCTTGACAGATATAGTATCTAAAATTCAAGGCTACATAATCATGCATAGATTTAATGGTGCTCGAGAACAAAAAAAAAATTAACAGGAAAACCAAACAGGATATCGCGTTACGAAAAGCATTTGCAACAGGCTACTTGAGACTTTTATTAACAGCTGCCTTTGTTGGCTGTATGCTGAAGACCAGCCAGCAATAAGAAACTTTGGAAACGAAAGAATTAAGAATCGAATGCTTAGGAAATATTCCCAATAAAAATGGAAATGGATCGGACACATTCTGAGTAGACCGTTGAACGACATCGCTCACTATACCCTCAATCAGAACCCAAATGGGAGGCGACGAGTTGAACGTGAGTCCGAGGCTAACATGGGGGAGATCAGGGAATATGGGTAATAGTGGGGTCAGCTACAGAGGACCACAGAAAATAAGACACAAATGGAGATGTGCGGTCGGAACCCGATGTTTCACTCGGTACCCAATGGAACAATTATATAAATAAGAAGCACTTACTGAATTCAATATTGTAGAAAGTAATTGATCCGGTGATGAACAATGATTAATACTTGGATAAGACTCTTGAATATCTGACCAGGATAGTTGTTTTCCAGAGGGTAATATAAAATCAGATTCTTTCGTTGTAGTGTCAGATATAGGCTTTGCTTGAGAATTATTGTCACTTAGTTTGATTGGGACTGTACACCAATTCTTGTTACGAATCTTCAAACGTGGTCTAAAAAAATAGTCAACAAAAAGGTAGTAATGGACAGTATAAATAAAAGTTTGTAAGGTCTAATGAATCATAATGAAAACAGAAAGATTGAGCAGCGAAGAAATATTTTTGCTTTTCAATTAGATCCTCTTCTCTGGCTCTACTCTAATATATATACCATTTTCATTGCAATACACAACAGTTTACCAATCAAGTGGCACTGATATGTTTGTTAACAATAATTAGTCAGTGTCAAAATGTCAATGCGACGGGTGATAATTAACGAAGAAAATCAATACACATTTAAAAGGTAGAAATGGTTAGAATAAATTAATTTTACAAGGATAACACGTAATTAAAGATGAAGTGGTCAGAAAAATAAAATAATTTGGACAATTATAATTTTTATAATTTTAAAGGTTTAGGGGGAGTGGGGCGAAATAGTCCGATTTATACATTCACGTAACGATGGCCAAGGTAAAGAAAGTGGCTGTACAAATTTCTTCTGAACACACAGGTTTGGGTGGCTTCTTCAGGTGGATTCCTGTTGCTTCAGCTGTCTGTAGAAGACGAACTCGTAGAGCAAAATTAAGATTAGTAGGAATGCGATAGATAATTCTAAATTTTTTTATTTTTTTTATTACAGCTTGATGCCACACCGTATTTATAGTACAAGTATGGAATTTTCAGCATGGATATCGGTAGCCCAAATTTTGCAGGCCGACCATAGTTATCGGGTGTGCGTCGGCAGAGGATCGAACCCCGGACCATGTGCATGGTCGGCGAGAGTGCTAACCACTGTGCCACCGATGCTGTATTAACATTATAATTGTCTAAATTTTTACTGACCACTTCATCTTTAATTACGTGTTATCCTTGTAAAATTAATTTATTCTATCCATTTCTACCTTTTAATTGTGTGTATTGATTTTCTTCGTTTATTATCAACCCACTGAAATTTTGACACTGTTTAGTTATTGTTAACAAACATATCAGTGCCACTTGTTTGGTAAATTGTTGTGTATTGTAATAAAAATGCTATACAGAATCTATTAGAGTAGAGCCAGAGAGAGATGAGGATCTATTTGAAAAGTAAATATTTCTTCGCTCAGTCTTTCTGTTCTCTAAATGTCTAAATAGGGAATTTTTCTACATTGGAATCATAATGAGTCATGGAGTAAACCTGAAGGTGAAACAGACAGCTATTTGGTAAAACACGAAAAATACCCATTTATTCATAAGTAAAAACAGTTTTTTTTGTTCAGCGAAGAATTTTCTTTTCAACGACTTCATTTTCAAGCTGTACATTCGTATTTATATTACAGAAAAGGTTATTAAGCGGCACTAAATAATCGCTCAGTTAATGTATATATATATATATATATATATATGTATGATAAGAGTAACGATAATTAAAATGTTTCAAGGGGTAGAGTTGAAGTGGATAAATTACAAAATTATTAAAGATTGTTCTATAAGTGAATTGATATCAAGTGTTGTCTAAAAATTTTAAAATTAGGAGTACGATTACGATAAGAATGAAGATGTGAAGTGAAGTGGAAAGAATACAAGTGGTGAAATAAAATAAAGTAAAAACTAGAAAGAACATTACTATGACCAAGGTAAAGAAAGGGGTTTGATAAAACGTTTTTGGATACACATAATTTAGGTTTTTGTTCATGTATAGCTAAAGCTTCGGGGCTATGCATAAGTGAAGAAAACGTAAACTTTTGGATTGATTCCATTTTGCCATGTAGATAACTTTGAAAGATGAATCACGTGGGGCTAAGTGACCTGACTCTAACAGGTGATCACAAATAGACGACTTCGCAGTTCTACGTTCGCCTTTCATTAACCAGACTGGATAGTGTTCAGTTACACGTTTTCGTAGATTACGCTAACAACGTCCAATATAATCAGCTCCACAAGAGCAGGTAAAAGAGTAAATACACATAGTAAAAAGTTGGAAACTAGGCGTTGTCATCCTTTCTAATCCAACCGTTGATTTATACCATGTTTAAACTTGCAATGGAAACGAATTAAATGTCTAGTGCTCTCTTTTGTTTTCAATAATCGCTCCAATGTTTTAATTACTCTCAACAATTTTTCTCAAGGTATGTTGTTCTTTCTACGCTTCTTTTTTTATTTCTTCTTACATGACTTACTACTTTGCCGCATGCTGATGAAACCAATTTTGTCAAGTATGCTGATGATCTGACTGTTTCTATGTCCGCGATTACTTCTCAGTCAGACTGTTCCAAAATGATTAGCTTCTAATGAGAAATTAATCAGTGGTCCTCCACAAATGGTCTTAAGCTTAATCCCTCTAAATATCAGTCAGGTTGTTAATTTCACTTTCAGATGTAAACATGACCTAAATGAACTGGTTAGTTTGCGCGTTTCCACTAAATCGAATGTAAACAAAAAAAAGATAACTCGGATTGTGTATTTCATCTCATCTCTCTTGGTCTTCTCACATTACGATATTTCATCCAACCGTCTTATGTGAGGAAGTTAAGACAGTCTCGTATCAATCAGTCAATATCTAGTTTTACAGTTTGCTGAATCGTGTATTCTACCTATTCTTTTTTATCGCTCCCCCTGCTTAATCTTTTTCAAGCTACATAGGAGAGAAATTGTTACACTGCTAAGGCCAGTGACTAACTGATTGGTTTCAAAGTAGAACTTTGCATAGATATACAGTAGTTCAAGTTGACACACTCCATGAAGTACACAAAGAGGAAGGAGATGGCTAGGGATGCATGCGTAACACATGTCCTAGAAGTCTCAATTAGTGTAACTTCACAATTTCGTCGACTGACTTCCCCTCCTACCCAACTAGCCCACCATGCCTAACCACAATATTGCTCACTCTAGTATACCACTTCAAATGGGAGACAGAACGCAGGCACCTATGATCAAAGACAGCTAGCCAGACGTTTCATGTCTTCCACTTTCAATGGCTATGTCTCACTAATAAACATAAATGAGGATAGAGCGAACTATTGAGCAGTATACACGTCCTTTGTTTAACAGTCGGATATCACGTCTACTAAGCAGAGATGGTGTAAGTTGGTGAATGCCACACCAGCCTTCTATATGCAGCATGCTGAGATTTCGTCATCGATCAACCCGTTGGGTCTAGCCGATGTAACTTCTCAAAGTGGTCTCAGGCGAAATAATTACGAAGAAATTAAGAAAATCAGTTCAAAGAACTTTTAATGCTGGCGAACTACACGTCTTATTCTCTACACGACCGATGGTAATTCCTCGACTGAAAGATGAAGTACCTAGACTAGCCCATTCCAATTGTATCTACTAATTCAACTGCGCTTGTGGAGCGAGTTATATCGACCGTTGCTCTAGGAACTTGATTTTTCGTGCTCGCTCGGGAATATCTCCCAGTATGGCTAAGTAAAGGTGTAGAAAAAACCATCAATATTTCGATATTAGACCATCTGGTCCAAACCGGCCAAAAAGCCAGCGTTGAAGAATCCTTCTCTATAATCTACCGGGTGCCTAATAAATTGCTAAAAACATCGAAGTATCGCATGCTCTAAACAGCAGAGGCTATGGCGATTCTCGTGAAACAACCAGTGGTTTGTGCGCAAAAGAAGCAAGTCCAACCAGCCACTACAACTGCCCTGGCCAGCCTTCAGTGGAGATCATAAATGCATGAATTTGTAATATTATCTTTCCTAATTTTTCTGACATTTAGCTTATTTTACGTTGATGCTATTGAGCTATAATCCATTGATATTATTGATTCGATGATATTTAAACAACATTAATGTTGTCCATAACACTAATTCATTCATTCACTATAATGTATATATAACTGTAGATCCTGATGAAGAAGGCGTTGTCGAAAAGAGTATTCTTTGTCCAGTAACCATTCTTTTGAAAATATCATACGAATGTTACCGTTTACAAAACAAACAAACAAGCAAACACGCAATGACCAAGCACAGTCAACAAAGTAATCTGACCGTTCAAAGATGCATATGCCGATCACGCATTTCTAAGGGTGATCTTGACAAATATTCTAGGCAACTGATGGGTAGAATGCTTACCGACCATGCAGGAGGTACAGGTTCTATTCCAAGCTGACAGAACTCCTAAACCTCAGCTTGGTTTACTAGCCAGTAGTCAACTGGTAAAAAAGGGAAGGACACAGAGATAGTCGGATCAATTCAGGATCTTGATCCAAAAATCATTCCAGTCATAGTTGTTATACATTGAAATGACATAAAATAAATACCAGTCGGACAGTGAGACACGATGACATAACAAGCATTGGAAATTATTACTAGAAAATAGAAATGCAGCGAAAACAGTTAACGTTCCAGAAGTGACTCAAATCCTTAATTTGTAATTTAGACAGTTCAATGCGGTGATTATTTCACAACAGTTTGCGGCTTTAAGCACCACTAACTACCGATCGGCGAACGACCTCGAACGCACCAATCACGTGAAGGGGGCATTTTTCTGTATGGAATATATGCTTATGAAATAAAGCATAAAAGCTGTAGAAGTGTTACAGAGGATACTTTCCTCGCACATATGATAAAAATAGCTCTCAGTTTTAGTTTGGCGTATCAACAGAGTATAATTCCATTGTGGGTAAATTTTATTTTGGTAAAGCCACATAATGTTATGCAATAATATTTACTGAGCAATAAATTGCGCTCCAAATATTAAATTTTACTCACAATGGAATTATACCCTACCACAGTGCACAAGTACTATTTTTATATCAACAGAGTAATTTAACCACATTCTATGCATGTAATTATTTAAGTCTTCTAACCCTAACAATAACCCCAATCTTTCCTGAACCTAATTTTAATGTGAAAATATCCGTAAACTAACTGTAATCTAACTCGAACCAACCGTAATGTCGCCTTCATTAGGTTAACCTAACCCTAGCTTGTCCTTGGCTTAAAGCTGAAGCTTCCCAGATATCGCATTCAGTAATAGCATAACACGTCGGTAAGCATATATTTATTGATGATGACAACATTATTTGCCAGGTTTCACTAACTCGCTCAGAGGACGTTTCAAGGTCATGCTGATGCAGTCGCACTTGGTAGTTTAGTGGTGCTTAAAGTTTAACTTTCCCCAGTTTGATTTGGCAAACAGAGTTGAGTCATATCGGGTACACACTCCCCAAGGCTAGCTAGCAAGCACTACTACTAGTTGATTTTGAGTGGTATCCACCTACTCATATTAATCAATAAGTAGTATATGGTGTTAATTACATATCTGCATAATTCTACACTCAGATAGGCAACACTTGTAAAGATTGTTCAGGTGATCATTCAATCTATACACACACACATTTGCAACGAACATGATTTGTGCAAGAAAGAAACTGTGAATATATATATATATATATAGTCTTGTGGTTTCACTTCAGTTATATAATACCTATACAATATATAAAATGCAAGTCAAATGGTGTATTTGAGCTAAAAAACACCTAGTAGGCTATCTGAAATTAAGGCATTCATTCCTATTGCTTGTTCTGATGTCAGGACTAGTATTCACATGGTAGCAAGATATCAGTGATTAAACCATTGAAGAATAAGACAGCAGAAAATAAACATTTTTTTTAAATTTCAGTAATTGTGTCCTGGTTTGTCAGTATAATTCCCTAACTGATATTTTTTAAGAGTTAGTTTTGTAGGGATTTGATCTGATTCAATGTTTCGTCCTACTTTGGGACTCATCAAAAGTAGGCACTCACTATCGAAGTCCAAACCAATGACCTTACAGGTAAAAGTCAAGACCCAACTGATAGCTGCTACCTTGACGTGGCGGTCGGGTTTGCATATTGCAATGTCCCAACAAGCTACACTGGTTGGAAGTAATGTTCCTGCAGGTCCTACCATGCCAGGAAGATTGTTAGGATAGCGATTGAACTAAAAGCAGTCACCGGCTTAGTGTAAGAATTATTTTTTACACTATGCTGGGGATCTGTGGTCGAAGTCGTACCGCTTGGAAACAGGGATGTAACAGCAGTAATGTGTTTTCCCTCAGATGCCCAGCATGCCAGCTATGCTATCTCTCCACTCCGAAGAGAGGCTAGTGGTTAGAAAAGGTAGACGCCGAAAATTGTTCATCCCGATTTACTCGACGGTGGTCTGTAGCCGACGGTAAGTTACTAATAAGGAAGCGAACCGAAAAGCCTGTTCAGACAAGCCGTGTATACGATCGGCCTCAAGCAGTTGTCCCCTGGTCTCTACAGTCAAACAACAATAATTCTCTTTCTCTTTAAGGTACCCTAAGAAAAGAATCAACTTCCAGCAGGGAAGTAACAACCGCCTACACAATTTCAAAAGCACAGAGAAGCCCTCCAAAAGTCAAAATTCAAGCTCATAGAGCACCTCAACTATTCGAACCCGATCCAATGACCCATAAATTCTAACCCCTACCGATTAGATGTGATAGGATCCCACACACTTTGTTATTGTTCAATTATTTTAACGACTGTTATTCTCGCATAAGTGGTATATTATCATTTCCCAGGCACTTTGTTATTGTTCAATTATCTTAACGACTGTTAATCTCGCATATGTGGTATATCGTCATTTCCCACGCATTTTGTTATTGACTATTACGACCAATTATTTCAAATACTGTTAGCTGTCTGTATTGGTTGTAAAAATGTACAAATACCATTTCCTAAATAAGTTTCTTTTCGTAGTTTGTCGTAGTTGTTGTACTACAATACACAGTCACAGACCAGACTTTGTCTTTTGATATTTGCGTGGTTCGTTGAATCGGAAGGTACCAGAAGCAGATAGGCATATTAGTCAGGCGCAGACAGAACAAGGCGACAACGTCCTCATTTAATTCCGCTACAGTTATAACAAGATGGTCTAACTGATATCAGCCCGTGATCAATTCTGTGACCAATCAAATCACTGCAAACCAACACTTCATATATAAGTCATGTGACACGTGTAATTCAAAGACAAGTTTCACATAAATGACAAGAACAATTCATCCAATTCAAATAATCAATATTTAAACTGTTTACTTAACATTCACAGTAGTATTAATGCTGGTAGCAAAATAATGCATAGAAAGGTCCGTAGATTTAACAGTGTAATGGAGATTAATTGTTAAGGCATGATTTTGCATAAAATAGAAGGGAATTTCTGTTGTTACTCGTATTTTTAATTTTGCATTTAATAGTAATTCAAACTTTTTTTCATTCCTTTGAGTTTTCAGTGAAACAAGTGGACTTCAAGCTTGAGTTTCAGTAGCAGCTTTCATGCTGATATAGGCTCAGGTTGAAAAAGAGCTAACTAGTGGTGGTCAGACTAAAACATGGCTTCATCAGTCAATGAGACCCACGATAGTTACTTTAAGGCAGCCAGCAACGTAGGGAGGTGTAGACTTGTGATGAGAGCTGGCTGCTAGCCAAACTGGTCGATGGTAATTTACGTCAATGTTTACGTCCTCAATATTGGTCGTGAGAAAAATATGAACAAAGACTGATTCAACAACCAACCACAGCAGACTTTGCGTCGGCGGATACAGTTAGCATATAGATGATCTGACATTCAAGAAACAGCCATAAAGAGATGAAAGATTAACTTTCAGTGAGAAACAACCAATCAGAAGACTGTGTTTTTCTACTAACAATAATCTACAATAATGTACATTAAAATCTATAAATATGTGTTGATATACCTATATAACTAACTGTTTGTGAATGGACAAAAGAACAATAACACTGTGAAATGTCTGGTATTCAGCATTTCATTTAGAACAACTAGTTTTCAGAAGAAGAAACAAAAAGAAAATCAACCAAGCAATCATGTAATGTAAGGTGGTAGTGCATAGATCACGATCAGCTGATGTCAACCAACTGAAATCTACCAATCAGTGAGCGTATAAATTTGCCAACAGCTGCGTGGGCGTCATACTCTCAATCTATTGGACTAGAACACTTACACATTCATTCTCTGATTGGTCGATTTCGGTTCGCTAACATGACATCAAGGCCAATCATTTCTTTTAAAACTGTTAAAAGTAAACTTGGTTTGGACCTAAATAAAAAGGAAGTATATGTGTGGTGTCTTGAATACAACAACACCAACACCATCAACGACAACAGAAACTGGAGCAAGACTCACCTATTCAACCGAAAACTTTCACAATTCGATAACATGACTACCAGACCAGGTGGTACACAGGCAGCTTCTCGTATATTTGTAGAAAGATGATTCCAAAGTTTCCAATTATCCGTTGTGTCCGTGGGATTCACATCACTGTCATCCTTTACTACTTGCTTGAAAATATCACTAATCAAACCGTGCGATTGTCTTCCAGTTGTATGAAGTCGACAAAAGTAGCCGGTTAAATCATTCAACTTTAGACTGTTTTGTCTATCATCAGATGTTGAATTCACTGCTTTAATACATGCTTGAAGTAACTGCCAAGCTGTCACTGAGATAGACGGATGAAGCCATAACCAGATATGACGGAAATTCTCTTTTGGCTAACAAACAAAAAGGTTAAATATAAATAAATTTAAGCTATGCACAATTTGTAAGAAAATATAATGACGAAAATAACGAAATGTGAGTAACAAAACGTTGACATCATCGAAACGTAGGATTTTTAAAATAAACAGGAATTAGGGTGGTGGCATTTAAACCTACAAACTCACTCAGGTAGGACAAGCTCTGTAGGCTAAAAGACCTAGTGGGTTGACCCAATTAAACAAAATAATATAATTTACAAAATACCCTGCAGTGAATGTGAGTTAGGTTAACTATATAGGTCAAACTAGCAGGTCAGGAGTAGTCAGATTGTCGCAACATAAGAATTTAGCTACCGTCAGAATGGTTGACCCCACTCGCGAAGATAAGTAATCTAGAAAAAAGCTCAGCAATTGCACTGCATGCATTAACACACAACCACAAAATAGCATGGTGTGTGAGGGTTAAAATTCTAAGAAGTAATATAGGTAAGTGGAGAGAGAAATTGATTACTGAATCCTGGTTCATTGAGTCTACACCTAACACATGCAACCGAAATGACTCAAGGCAAATACCAGAAATATGTATGGAAGATAATATTACCACCAGTCACATCAGAAGAGAATAACAAATAATCTCAAAACTCTATTTCAAATCAAGCATATCACAACATTCTAATAAGTTACTTATGCTGACTATAAAAACACTCGTCTTATTTCCCATCTGATTGTATTTGACTGATAACACTCATATTATTATTATTATTATTTCTGAATGTACATTATCCTATATTGATTTTAATTTCAATATCTAATCAATTCCACACATGTATATAAATGAAGGAAAAAAGTTGTGTGAGTAGCTTGATATCATTATGAGCAATAAATTATGCTCGAAACGTGGTCATCCGTTAATATTACTGTGTAACACTATGTGATTTATCAAAATAAAATCTTATCTATAATGGAGTTATACTCTACCAAAGTGCCCAAGTTTTATACTTATACCAACGAAACCTCGTTTGTAGTAAAAGCTGACCTTGTCAACAGCAGAGATCGAGCAGTTTGGATATTTATTACTATTTAGTTAGTAAAAACACAAAACCTGGTACATTATAGGCATCGTTAGAAAGGGAGCAGTTGTTACATTTAACAAGACTGAACGACACTCGTTGAATGATTGTCAGAAAGGGAAGAAGGAAGGAAACTGTAGTATGTTAGCCACTGCTGATTGTGATTCTTGGTCAAATCAAGCCACTTACTGGGACTATCTGTCGGATCCCAACCAAAGAGTCATGATGTACCAACCGATGCTAACCTAACACAAATATCCCTTATCCCAAATAACAGGCAGACCAACTTCCTGCTTTTCTTCTCCAGTTCCGGGGCTAGAGAACAGAGACCGGTACGGAAACCTCTGGGATGGAATTCGTAGCAAATGTCCACAAGCCACCGAAGTGGATGTTTCCAGATGACGACACTCAATGAGTGATGGTCTCCATTGTGTCTAAACACACGCTGCCGTAACTGGGGGTTACTCACACGATGATTCTGTCTGAGGTATGCAATTCTACGCAGACGTCGATGGTCAAGTACGCAGAGACGCTCCAATTTCTCAGCTCACCCGGAGAGTTCAGGTTTCACAAACGTAGAGCGAGACTGCGCATACCGGAACATTTTAAACCCGACCTTTGACAATTAGACTGACGCCGTAACAAAATCAGAGGTGCCATTTGAGGACAATCAAATAAACTGATGACAAATTCAAAAATGATGATTCCAACAAAAAATTAATGACACCCAATATCACGCTTCTAGTTCTTGGTGTTAATGCAGACTGCACTCTATCATCAGTCAAGTTTTCAAAATACACTTACCACGCTAGGTGGCGTGTTACATCATAAAGCACCCTGGATTAATGTAAAACGATTGAAGGTAATCGATAGGAGTGCTTGAACCTAGGTTTTGTGCTCGTTCTAATTGATTGTCGATTTCCCGAAGGTTAAATCTTGAGACAACAAGCTGTCCAATAATGAGATTGTTTCCTGACCACAATGTAAGCTAAATTCATGATTTGGGGAATAAACACTTCCGTCTATGCTTGTAGTCATTGTTTTCAATTTAGACTGCCTCCTATCAACCTGCATCTCTATACTACTGATAAATCTTGTCCGACGTACACACCACAGTCCTACAAGAGGTCAGTTGCGCAACAAATAGCTGAACACTCAGTGATGCGGCTCCACATCTCCAAAGGAGCATCAGTCGCTTCAAGGTGGTATATGGGGATTATAGATAGGTGCCAATAAGCAAGCGACCTAGATCCACCAAGTATTGGAAATCTACTTCATCTGAGTTTGGGAACCCTTTGACAGTATGCAACCATCAGCCCCACCCGTCGCCGCCAAAGTTTTGTTGAACCCATGACATTCGAGTCAAAAGGCCAGTCTATTGACTGTTGAATCCACTGACAGTCATTTTCATCGATGATGAGTCCCTGTCCTTAAACCCGACGTGAAAGATCCAACTGGCCAATCCTTAAACTGAGTAGTAGATTCATTTTCAAATGGTTGGTTGGCAAGGATTTGATTTGTTTCATTGTCGAATCACAAGCTGACATCAGTTGAATGTCCTGTGTTCGACCCCCAGTGAACTCATGAACGTGTGTAATCTTGATAAGTCGTAAACTAGAAAGCAAGAGTTTTTCGGCACTGCCTATCAATCTGTAAGCTAAAATTTCCGAAAAAGCACAATCTGATTGATAAAATACACTATTAAAATGCAAAAAAATTTCACTTAACATTGATTTAGGCATATATATATATATATTCATGAGTAAATCAATTGTCAACATTGCTAATACAACTGGAAAATGCATATTCGAACTATCAATAAGCGTCTGTCAACTTATTTTCTATTTTATGTATCCACTTTCAGTATATCATGCGGAAGCAACAACTGTTGAACATGCGTATAAATGACTCGTATCAGTTGGTATTAGATAGTTGGAGGCAATCAACAGGAAGCCTCACCTGACCTAGATTTAATCCTAGTTAGCACTCATCAGCAAGGCGCATCTGTAACCTTAAAAGAACTCATGTCGCCTCTGAGATTCGAACCCGTGTCAATAGTCGCTGACTAGTGTCCAGTCGAAAAATAATATCCAATACGGTCCTATAGGAGGTCGACCGCGAGTCCGAATGGCTCACTTGTAACGCATCTGACTGTAAAACTTACTGGGTGACACGGATTTGTATCTCAGACGGGACATTAGTTCCTTCAAGGTTACAGATTAGCCTTACTGACTGGTAAGTGCCGATTAGTACGAAATCAAGGTCAGGCAAGGCCTCCTGACGATTGCCCCTAACCATATAATACTAAAAGTTCACAGTGCACCGTGATGGTGAGTCACGTAGTAGCATGGTGGCCATATTGCAAAACTTGACCGATAGAATTCAGTCTGCATCAAACAAAGGACAATACACACACACATTACACTAGTTACTGACTAGTGTCCGAGCAAAAGACACTCATATCAGTATTTATAAAACTTAACATTGTGATAAAGCGTTACAGCTTACACCAATGATATTATTTAAAATTGAATGATTTGAGAAATTCTTTTCCAACCACCGGTAAGACAACATTCCAATAGGTAGTCAAGCAACAGTAACCGAAAATGTACTATCTATAATTAGTATTATTAAAAAGATGGTTACCGAGAATTAAATTTTCTTTTCAACGAAGTTCTCAACTAGGCTGTATATTTGTATATTTCCGAGTAATAGGTGAGAAAATTAATAATAATAATAATTTGCTTTATGCCAAAACAGTACTTGTGATACAGAATGGAATTCTCAGCATTTTTACTACACTATTGCATCCAGTTAGTACATTATGAATCGGTCGGTCAGTTTTCGACATAGAACTTTGCATATATGTGCAGCAGTTCAAGTCGCCACACTCTCTTCGTGTAACACCCAAAGCAAGAGAAGAAAGTAGGAGAAATCCATAATAGAGGCAGTAAGTTGAGGTGTGAGACAAAGGTATAGTAATAACGAAGAACAAAACAGTTTCATTGGAAATCATAAGTCACAAGGAGTGGATGCATCTATGCCACTGACAACGATTTTGAGCCATGTCACCAATTGTTTCCAACCATTGGTTTTTACCGTCCCGAGGACCCCAACCAGTCAAGAAGTCTACACCTTCCTACGTAGCTTAGACTAACTGTTGTAGATTTCATTGACTGGTGCCATGTTTTCGTTTGACCGCAGCTAGCTCTTTTCCAGCCTGGCCCTATATCAGTTAACATTGCCCGTCGAGGAAGCCGATGACATTATCAATAAATAGAATTCTACATAGATTAAGGAAATCTCAGTTTATTATGACAACAACACATTGGCATGTCAGTAGCAAAGCCAAACTTGAACAATGTATGAAGGTTTTAGAAAAGTAGGTGTTATCATATTTACTGGCGTAAGCGAGAGAAAGAAACAAAGCAGCACCTATAAATGCTATGAGTTGGAAAGACGAGATCCATTTGTTCTACTGACTATATAATGAATTATAGGTGTCAAGCCTAATGCTTTCTTTATCGCACAGAACACGAGCTAAGTAGGGTATGGTTGAGTTTTTGTACTTGCTGGTGCGAGCATATAGTATTCTATAATTCCAGAACTACTTTTCGTCAAGGGTCATGTTAATCAAAACTATAAATTGTATTAAACAGGAAGATGGGATTTAAAATAATCAGATAGATGAATAGATAGTACTGACTAATGACTAGCCCTATTCAAGTAGGTGGTTACCTGGGGTTCTAGTGGTGAGTCGTGATCAGTGGGATACAGCAGGTCGGGTATGACATTCGCTAATTGTCGTGCCATACCATGAATTGGCAGGAGTTGGAAACCATACAGTGGCCATTGGATCGTGTCGCAATGGCTTAATTGGTCTACGAGCCAGCTCGCCTTGTAACCAGAAGGTCCTGGGCTCGAACCATTGCGGTGGGTGAGTCC